CTATGTAACTTTTGGTTCAGTAAAGGATCACTTATCTACTGAAGTGTGAGGAGAAAACATGTGATTTCAATGTTTCTCCATCAGGAACTACTTAAAGTAGAACTTTGGCGGTGGAAACCTTCAAAATACAGCGGAGTTTTCAAAACCTTTTATCTTTCAAAAAACATCAACATTAGCAGGTTGAAAAAATTGCATCAAGAGTACCTTTGCAACTTGAAAGTATGGTGTCAAACCAAAATCCCTACCTGCATTCTGAGTCTTGCCTGGTTAGTAGATATTATCACAGAATGATCATCTAGAGTAATATCCGAAACGAGACCGTACATCGTATGCCTTTGGGAGTCTGGAACTGACTCAGGGCTGCGCGCCAAAACATTTATGTTATACAGTATGATATACTACTGTAGTTGTACAGTTATCAAGTGAAGGCATTGAATAAGTAGTTTTAATTCGATTTTTAAATGGCAGTTGCACAGAAAAAACATTGAAGATTTAAAGGCAAAATGGAGGAAAGAAATATTATAGCGGAGGGCTCAAAAAGGAAAGTCGACAGTGATGACGAACTTTTCAGCTACGGCAATACAGTGGAGTTTTCATTTAAAAAGCAAAAAATGGCACAAGCGACTTGTGGAAATGCAAAGAATTATGCCAGTGATAGTGGTTCAAGCGAAGGAAGTTCTTCAGATTGTGACAAAAGTAGTGTTAGCTCTGAAAGTAGCGACGACGACTCAGATCATTGCAGCGAGGCTGAATTAGGCTCATTCGATGTCGATAAAGAGTAAGAGCAAAGTAGATTATTTTGTTTTGAATAATGTAATGATGATGATATAATCTCAGTTTCTTAAGTTTATATTGATTCAAAATAAAGGCAAATATGCTTTCGCATTTATTTTACACTACGCTCAGAGCCTAAAAGTTCAGGCAACTTCTATGTCAGCTTGGAGTTCAGCTATTCTCTAGGAGTATGTCAGCTACTCTCTATATATATTTTACTAAAGTCATGTATGTATGTCATGTCATGTATGGCTTGGTTGCTAAGAGCTCAAATGCCTTTCCTCGCAGAGCTGAAAGTGTGCTCAGACTGTAAAATCTGGTGTTTGCAGGGTACAGAATAATGCTTGGTACTTTCTTATCCTAGGCATTAGTAAGAATCTGCCATAAACAACAATGGTTGTTCATCAGGACATATCTCCCACACATTTTCCACCATGTAATTTGTTGACTTCTGATTACGATAAAAACAACATAATTCAAGATTGCTTTGGAAGCCTTTGCTTTCATTTGTAAGATTTTCTGTAAATTTTTGAAATCACTTTCTTATACAAGTGACATCATCAGTTTAATCATTACCAGAACAGTCTGCACCAACAAGCGAGCAGTACAGCAATATTATCGGGTGGATCCATAAATTCCAGCTTCAGATGTCTGAAGTGCCTTAAAAATAAAAAAGAATGGTGATTTGTTCTTTTGTATCTATACATAATCTATAGATAATTCTATGGATGTCAGAGAAATCTGCTGTTATCTTTGTGACCTTTTGAATTCTGTAAATCATAGAGAATGGATGAACCTTAATTGTGCAAACTCAAGTGTCAAACGACCTTGCACCAATATGGAGCATCACACAAATATATTTGGTTCAAACAACAAAGCTTTAAATTTGCAGTTCAAGGGGTCAAACAATAAACATTTTGTACTTAAATTGAACTAGGGTCACTATGATAAAAATTATGTTGTGAAATTTATTTCTGTAAGCTCAAGGCATAGTTTAAGGGCTTTCATAGAACCGATGTCTTTTTTGATTATCATAGACACAAGAGAGTCATTTCTATAAAAAGGCTTACACAAAGGGACTCTCTTCACTCAAGATGCTTTTTCACTAAAGCAATTATATTTGGCTTGACAGCAAGGCAGTTTTGTCCTGATGCCATATAAGAAACCATTTTTATTTGCCTCTCTTCTCCTGTTCTCTCCAATATCCCACCTCTCTTATTAATCCTGCCTCTGTGATAATCTGGCATCTGGCAATTTTGATGATTTAATCTATAATTGATAATTGAATGTACTTCAAAGGCAATCAACAGATGGCTTAAACCCCTTTAGTATCTGTTGAATGTCTTTAAATATTCTCGAGGTCAAGTATGCTGTTTTACTTCATTCAATTTATATATGCTTTAGTTGTGGCTAACCTTAGCTTAATGGATTTAAAAGAACGGCCTTTTTCAGTTTTGTGTAAAGGTACAGTGTAACATTTGGGCAACACAAAAGTAACAATTCTCTTTCCAAACATTATTTTGGTTGTATAGGATTTGAAAAAAATTGCTTTTCTGGATACAAGCAAATAAGTGCCATTGCGCAAACTCCACAATCTCCTTTATTTTTTACACAGACACATACTAGGATTGATAGAACAAAGGAGTTCAATTTCTATCTTTGCTTTTGTAAATATTTTAGTAAAGTAGGAAAGTTTTGCCTTTCACTAAATAGTTTGCTTTGCTTTAATGAATTTCAATTATTTTCAAGCACAATAGATCAGCCTCCAAAGTATCCAGCACAATCTCCAACTCCAGTAATTTGTGTTAATAACAAAAGAACAACAAGATCCTTTCAGTAAGTACTTTAGATGGTTGTTATTGACCAATTTATTTTCTTCTCATGATATGAATGATTTTTGAAGAATGCAATAAGTGCACTCCTCTACAAACCTACTACATATTTATTCATTTTTAGAAACATTGAATAGTTTCGACAAGTATGTTTACAATATTTGCGCTTGTTTTGAAAGTTTTTAGAAAGCAGAATTTAGAGGAGTCTAGAGCAGGCAAATGCTGCCCTTTAAATAATAGCTATCGATAATAAAAATATAGCAAGTTCTAATGTTAAGTCATGTTTCATGAAAATCATGAAGATTTGAAGTATTTAAATCTATTGACCTTGACTAATTAAAATCTGTAAGATGCTTAGTTTTTCAAGTAATTAATTCAACTCTGTAAGAAAGACTTGTATTTGAAATTTAGCGCTGAAGAGCCATATTGGATTGGATATGTTTATTTTTGCAAGGTATCAATGATAAAAATGCACAACATTGGGATAATTATCTATAAACAATCTTTTGTTCTAGGGCATTAACAAATCTTCTTTCACACAATAACAAACCAAATATTGAAACAGCATCACCAACTATCCCTCTACCAACAAGGAGCAATGAAAAGTTGCCTCAACTAGTTATATTGGATGATAGTCCTGTAAATCGGGAACGGGTGATTAAGGTCAAATGTCATGGAAATGTTAATAAATACAAGATAAGACAGGTATACAGTAGCTTATTGTTAAATATTTTTTAAACAAGTTATACATTGCAATGTTTTTCCAAGATCTGTTTACAATCATTTATAACCAGCGTGAGTCTTAGAATAAATTTCTCCTTTCAAATCTGAATAATATGGGCCTTGAAAAAATTACCTATATTGGTATGTAGAAATTTTTCTATTTGAGCATCTTTCTCATGAAAGAATGGTTAAAATTGGAATCACCTGAAATTGTGATGGGTTTTTTCTACGGAAGTGTCTTTGAAAACGGTTTTTTAGTACAACAGATGTTTTTTATGGCCTTTTCTGGGGTTTCTTGGAAGTGGAAGCCACAGCCATGTTTTTAATACCTCTTGATTTTAAAGAATCAGAAAGTTCGGATACTGATAGAAATTTATAAAGAACCAAGAAATCTTAAAATTGTGAATAAAAAAGCACGAGTTTCGTGAAACCCTGAAGCTGGGAAGAGGCTGGTTAATTTAATAGGCATGTATTAGTTCATCATAAATCTGTTAAGTTGGGTATAAAATGCTTTGGAAATATTTTGCAACATTTCCTTTTGACTTTCAATTTTGGGTTGTGCATTTGTGTTTTCACTGCCTATATCTTGCAAATGTTATCTTCATCAATAACTTTTTAACAGAACCAAGATTTCAAGTTAATAATCGACATGATCGCAGCAAAAGAAAGGACATCTTCAGAAAAGGTATTACTTTACCTCAAAGAGAGCTTGATTAAAGATGATGACACTCCCAAAAGTATCGAGTACACTGTCGCAGATATAATTGGTAAATGCTTGCAAAAATTTGTATTCTTTGATAAATGCCACATAACTTTTAGAAACATGTTATTGTCGTAGGCAAACTCTACTTCAATTGTATGTAGATCGATTCCTGGTTAAGATAAACTTGGCACTTTTACGGACCAAACTTTTGAACAGCCGAACATCCCGAAATTTCGGACCAAACAATAGCCGAAAGTTTGTACTGTTCGGCTGTTCAAAAGTTTGGTCCGCAAAAAGTGCCTAATATAAACTACCACACTTTCTTGCTATCAATCCCGGTATTGTTTACAGCACTAAGAGAGCCCTTCCATCCATTCAAAAGGATTGCGTTCCTACCACACAAAAGAGTTCCGTTGTTTATGAATTCACGTGCCAGTGTGATTCTGGCTACGTAGGACACACAGTCCAAAGATTGGGGGATAGGATAAAACAACATGTTCCTTCCAACACAAGAAACAAAACTGCCCTTCAAAGAGAACAGCCTCCTCGATCTTGTAGGTCTAGAGACACCGTTAAAACAATTGATTCTGCCATCGGTCAACATCTTTTAGATAACCGCCCGGTCGCCTTTCCATCTAGCTGTTTTGTACTTCAATTGTTCGAGACAATACCTTTTTTATCTATTGCATTCATTTTATCCGTTTCGCACTTTACACATATGTATCGAATTATATCTGTGATGCTTTGAAGAATGAAAAAGCTTGCAGTAAAATGCGGAATTTGTTTTCAATCTAAAAGAAGTACACAGTAAACTCTCCTCTGTTTTGACGACACGTGTCTACAAACACAAAAATGCTCGCAACGAAATAAAGAAGGTTGCCAAAGTTACCAGAGAAACCGGCCTCAAAAGGGCACAAAAACGGCACAAGAAAGAAGGCACCCATTTGTGGAAGCATACAACCCTGCTTTGCCACTTCTGGCGCCTACAAAGTCTAGCAACTAAGCCTTCCCGCAGCCACCTCTACTTAGTTACATTCGACCCAAAAATCGCAGAGACTGTATCACTCCTGAAAAGACTGTATCACCTGCAAGCATATCACCGACTGGGCCACTAAAGGGACGTATACCAATACCAAGGCACATTTTGATATTAGACTACACTGCATCAGCAACGTTTTTAGCTCATACAATGTTGAGCAGAAAAGTAGACTTTAACGAATATAGATGTTTCTGCAAACCGGGACACATCATAAACAGATAACTCCTCTACTCCAGCTACACATTTAACGAGAGAGTGTAACAAGAGCTAAGAAACATTATTTTTTCGCGAATTTGTTGAGTTTGCTAACGCTCCATTGACTTTCAGCGTCATTATTAATCACCAATGCCATTCCCATCATTTTTATTATTATCGCTATTTTTTCATTTTCAAAAACATTATGGTTTTCATCGTCATTACTGTTATCATCATCACCATCAATCCCAACACCACAGGCATCATTCTTATAATAACATCATTGCTCTCCAAGCTACACACTACGCTCATTCATATCCCTTTCCCATTGCCCATTACTCCCTCCAGTCATCACTCTCCAGTCTCTGCCATGCATTTTACACGTTTACACCTTCATCACCCACCAATCAAATCACATATAGCCACTGTAAATTGCATATATATGTGCAAACGTCGATTTTTAATTCTTTAGCTCCGAGGAAGCCCTGCACACCGAGACGAAATACCAGTATATTAATTCTATTATGTTTGTTGTTGTTTACACTCAGCACTTTGCACTGTTCTTTGTTGTAATCCTTTCAACGCCGGGAGTAAGGAACACTTCAATATTTATTCACTTCACCGGAAGTATTTGTTTTGAGTCCGTAGGTCAGTTTTTCTACCCTGACCTTTCCATTTGCTACATACTAATAGGTTGAGAGTTTTAAATTACAAATAACAGCCTAACTGAAATTTTGACTATAAAAATTTTAAGCGAACAGGCACAGTTGTCAAAATTGTTTGCACTGAAGTTTATTTCTCAATGTATGATGTCTGTTTAAAACTAACAGTATTTGAATCTTAACGAACACGTTACGTGTAATACAGGTATCTGTATACCATACTATACAATGCACACATCTGTTTAATGCGGTGGAAATGATGTTATAAAACCCAAACATATAGGCTTAGCAAAATAAAAAAAAAACATGGAACAGCTTCAGCATTTATTAAGATTTTTAGAATTTATCCTTATTTTGAGAATTTGATAAATTCCCAGTCCAATGTAGTTGTAGTCAAGAATCTTAAATGAATATATTGTATGTTATGAATTTGTTCATGAATAAAGTATAAATGCAGGCCATAAATGCAGGCCGTTAATTACTGACTATTTTTTCGAAGATTGTGTCATTGTTGTTGAGGATGCATTGGACAGTGGCAGCAAGCACCTTGATAATGTTATCAAAATAAAAGTACAAGGAGATGAAGTGCACTCAAAACAGGAACACACCATTAACAAGGTATTAAGTGTCTTCTAGTATTTGATACAAGTGGTTTAGCTTGTTTGCAAGAAAATTTGCAAATATTTGAGTAGGTATTGTTTTAAAAATGAAATGCAAATTTCATCTGTTTCAGTCTGAATAGTTTCTTTGTCATTGTGAGTATTTCTAACTTTGGGTTTCATTTGAGCATTTGAAATTAAATCTACTTTTCATCATTAGATTTACACTTTCTTTATACTTCCTTACAGTTCTCACCTTTGGAAAACACCATAAAAGATTACTGTGCCGCAAGAAAAATTGATGTTAAGACGGTTCAGATATACTTCGATGGGGAACTTGTGAGCTTCAAGAATACCCCAAATGATCTGAATATGGAAGATGATGATATTATTGATTTAAAATGTAATTAATTTTAATAGCACACCTGTATAATGTAAATATGAATTTAACTCAGACACATTTGAAAGGCTAAAAATAAGTAAATCATATCATGTAAGTTCCTCTATGCTACCCGTTCTATGTTGTCTTGATTGCAGAAAAACACGAATAACAGAAAATGCATAATGATGCCAGATTTTTAAAAAAAAGTATCGCTTATGATGCTAAATAGTGGTATTTATTTTGGTAACTATTTACATTGGATCCCTTCTGTAACTTGTTCCCTTCTGCCACTGTTGTTAGACAAGTAATGCAGAAAGAGCATCAAAAAACTTGCTCCGGTCTTCACTCTTCATTTCAATAACTGAAAGAAAAATATAGAGTTTTAGAGCTTTTTTATATCGCATACAAGTTTGGGTTACACTACGCTGCACCAATCCAGTACAGAATGCCCGGATTAGCGGAGTGAGAATCACTCTGTTTCGAAACAAAGAATTTTCTGAAAGTCTTCTGCTTTGAAGCAATTTGAACATTAGCGAACAATGGCAATTTTTGAGATTTTTGGCTTGCTGTTGGATGTTTGTTTTTGTCATTTTATGTAGAAGTTTTTGAGAATGAATTTGAAACAGCATATACCTTTGACCAGATCATCATATAAACTCTAATCTGGTGTATTTTACGCATAAGACTGCAAAAACACACTGTATTGTAGGGTTGTACCCAACCAGCATTTTCAGCTTATATATCAAGAATCCAGCCGGAATAAACGGCCAGATTTTACCGGATAATCTGGCTATTACCAGATACTAGGAGGATTCTAAAGGACTTGTTCTGGTACTTTGCAACACACAGAACTGCAAATTTAAGAGACCGAAGGAAATGTATTTGATAAATAGAATGCAGAAAAATTCTGAATTAAGAAACACATTAAATATGATGCTTTACAGGAAACTTCAATACAATTCATCGGTAAATTCATTCATCGGTTTAATGTGTGAAATGCGTATTGGTTTTTTGTGGTATTCAGCTTTTGAAAAACGTTAGATAGCGACAATGAACCCTCATACCTGTTGGATCAAAGTAATCTTGATTTGTGCGTGCTTTTGTTTTTTCAGCTGCATGATCGAATGCAGCCCCAAAAAAACTTTTGAAAGAAAGACATTGTGTGTTAGGACAGAATAAGCTAGATATATTGAAAGATTTAGATTAAAATACAGTGCGGGTGTAAAGCAAAATATCAGTCTAGATGTTCTAATGCTTGGGGCAAACTATCCAACTATTTCTTCTATTCAACACTATCCTCATTATATGTGGAAATTATTACAAGTGGTTAGGTTGACAAAATCACACATTGTGGTAAGAAAACTTGATAATATGGAAAGAAGCATACTTGCGAGTAAAATCCTCTCCAATTGGGGGAACACCAGTCAAAAGGCAGGTACCTAAAAGCAGAATATGGATTCTTTCACTATTCAGCCATTTTGAACACTGAAAACCAAGACTTTATTTACCTTCAAACTTGTAAAGAATTTCACTGTATTTTCAATGAACATGAATATTTAATTCATATTGTAATTATTTGCAAAAAGAATAAATTTGCAATGGCTACCGTACTGAATTTTCTACAGAGTTTATTCATTTAGAGACAGATAAATATTAAGATGAAGAAATTTGTCAAAATTTATGTTTCTATGCTTTCATAGCCTTTCTAGTTAACTAACATTTTCTTGAAACTAAGACATCGTTCTGCATCCTTAAACATATTTTCTTAATGAAAGTAAGCAAAGTAAAATGTAAAGTTTATTGAGAGAACATTTCCAAATTGCCCAGTTAAGGAATGACAACTTAACAAAGATAACATCCATTTTCAAGCAAAACTTCTGATTTAGTCTATTCTTTTCCCCTGGTAACTTGACTACTCCAGGAAGAGGAAATTTATGAAACATTAATGAGGGCCCTGTAGATCTGTTTCCTCCTATTTTAAAAACTAATGTAAGTAATCAACCCCCTTAAAAAACCATTTAGAAGTAAAACAATGTAGCTTAAGAGGTTTTATTTTGTTCACCATTATCAAAGGGACAAACCACGACTAAAGGCTCAAGCTGGTCTGAGGCAACACACACACTGCTAAAAAAGCACTTCTCCTTTTTCCTCTTGGCATATCTTTATTATTCCTGATTGATTTAGCCACCAGACTCCTTATGTGTTCTATAACCCCTTCCACAAAGGTTGCAAGAATATTCAATCCCCTTTTTAAATTACTTACACTTCATAAAGAGGTATAGAATTTTGGTTTCTAGAGATTAACAGTTGCAATATTTATTAGAATTACTCTTCAGTCTGTCAATCTTTGATATTTTTAAAAACTGATGGTTAAGCAAAATGAAGAAATCACTGTGATGAGAAACTATTGACTTACTACTGTGATAAGATTCATTCAGCTAATTTTATGGTATTTTGCTAAAAGGAATTGCTGTTATTAAGGTATCCAACAATACTGTGTCAAAACGGCATCAATGGAAAGTTGAGAACCATTTATGAATTTTAGAAGTTTAACATTAGCAGCCTAGAAAACATTAGAAAGATTTAACTCTTCTCTACTGAAAATTCTCTTTAGTATTCTTTTGAGAATAATAACTGCTGAGTGGTTGTAGGTGTTTGAAGCGTGGAATTTCTCATTTGATGTTCGAATCATCATTAGTGCATACATGCCAATTCGTGGCCAAAATGTTTATTGAAAAGCTGCATAACTGCCGAAGCATTGCTCACCTTCATCGTTCTCACGTGGCACAGCAAGAATGAACGGAAGATTTTTTGTCTTTTTCCTCTTTGTCTAAAAAACATTTGTCAAAAAATGTTGAATTCATAAAATATAATTGATATGAATGAAAGTAACATTATTATTACAACCAACATTATAAGCTTACTTCAGCTGAAAAATTGTGAAAATTTTAAATTCAAGACAAAATGGAATGACAGTAAACAATACAAATCAAATGATCAAATGATTCTAAATTTTCTAGTTGGTCGAAATTATCAGACAAAAATAAACGGTGGACATATACTAAAACGATGTCGTAGTTTTCCCCATCGACCAGTCCATCAACTCGCCAACTCCCATTGTTGCCAACTCACCAGCTTGCCAACTCTCAATGGTTTGGATGTTTGACATAATTACAACTATCTGCACAGTTTCCTTATTATGGCATAATTTATACTAATTATCCTGTGCTGTTGCTGCCTCGCGTGCTCAATGGCTACATTTTTACGAGAAGCTAAAAACGCAAAACGCTCAGTTGCAGATAGTGAACCCTTTTTGAGTAGATTTTCCGATAAGTAGATCACCAGCGCAGTCATCTTTGCTCTTCTTACAGGCAAGGCAACAAAAGAAATTGTGCTAAAACACACGAGGCAACAACAAGAGAGGATTAGTATAAAATATGCAATGTGTGTAGGCTATTTAGGGAGTTGATGAGTTGGGAAAACTACAACACTTTAAACTAAGATTAAATTTACAGAAAAAAATGATATGGTACCAAATGGTTTAATTTTTAAATGCATTCTAGTAAAGTGAAAAGGAATCTATAGCCGAATCACAATTGATTTAGGCATTCTGTTCTTTACAAAAATCTTCTTGGCTGTTCTCTTTTTGGAAAAGTTCTTTGCCTGATGCTTGCGGGAATATACTGATTAATCCTATAGATTAATCGTTGACTAGTACATCCTACTTTCATCGGCACAAAAATCACGAAAGACAAAACTTTTTTGATAGGCAGGAACGAAATCCTTTTCAATGGATTGGAGCATGACCTTAGTACTATAGACAACACGAGGCATCACTGTGGAAAAAATGATCATGGGCGTTTTATTTTATTTGAGTTTTTAATTTTGTTCAAATATTCCTAATCCATGGCATTTTTTAGTACAAAACATTTCCCTTGCCGAAAACAAGCGACTTTTTGCCTAAAACAGGTCAAAATGACTTCTTTGGTTAGCCATTATCCAAAAGAATTTCCTTGATTTCGTTAAGATCTGGACCCAGTTTAGTCTTGAAATAAATAGGTGCTCTGTGCACTAAGGTTTTTATCAGGCAAATTTTCCTTTCATTTGGATTTAAAGGGTTTCCAACAAATATACTACCCACAAAATGTTGGTTTTCTATAAACACTGGTAAAAAAAACTTGATTTTGCACCTAAACGTCTAGCGAACCCCTTGACTCAGGGGCGGACACTTGGTCAATATTGGGGGCGCAAGCCTATTATTTTGATAAGATGACGTCACATTTCCCCATTGCTTTTAAACAAAAGACCATTGCCCAATTAAATATTTAGGGGGAGGGGGCTAGGAGGGTTGTCGCCCCGCGGGTGTCCGCTACTGCCTTGATCTACATTTGCATAACTTAATCAGTACTTACCATGGCTGAGTAGGCGTGAAGCGTGAATCGTGCTAGCTTTTGGATGATTGTTGGTCTGGCAAACTGGTGTGCATTTGGAGTGCCCTAATTAAAAAAACAATATTCAGTGGATGTAGATGAGACAAATGTGGCAGATTAAGACTTATTTACCTGAACAGAATTCGACCCCTGGTGATGTCATGAGCTTGCTGTCTCGATTCAACTCTGTTTCTAGTGTCTTTGTTAAGGTGGTATACATGTGTTTCTTTGTGAGTGTCTTGATTTTAGCAAACCATTTTGTTGCAGGTCTTCCCCTTGCTCTTTTGCCTTCAATTTTTCCTTGCATGTTCAATGTGGCAACAACAGTAGAGTATGGGATCGAAAAAGGCGGAAAGCCTTTGCCTGTGGGAATGACACATAAAGAAGAAGAAGAATAATACAACTTCATTTGTTCTTCTAGATATCCAGAATACCTTTAGGAGTCTTCTCCATAATAAAAGTTCAAAGTGCTCAATCTTTTTTATTTGCTTCTTTGCTTACCATGCATGTTTCACTTCCATATGTAGCAACATGTATTACCAGTTTATTTGTCGATCTTATCTTAGTCTTCAGTGTGCTTCGTTGCTTACCATGCATGCTTCACTTCCATATGTAGCAACATGTATTACCAGTTTATTTGTCGATCTTATCTTGGTCTTCAGTGTGATGTTTTCCTCTATTATCTTTGTTGTCAAATTCATCATAGCTATTCTGCCAAGCGTTAGCCCCCTGCTAATTTCTTTTGTGTGAACAGTGTTTTCTGGTGAATGTACAGCCAAGAAACTAAAATTCGTTTAATACCTCGATGGACTCCCCATCTACTTCGAAGTTGTTAATTTCTGTCATTGTCATTTTTTTTCAACTTGGTAGTAGCCCAACTTCTTTGCTTGCCTTCTTAAATTTCTGATAAGTCCAGATCTTCTTTGGCTTCGGCAATCACGATCGTGTCATCTGCATGCCTCAAGTCGTTGATAATTCTCCCATGTACTGTGATTCCGATACTGTTATCATTTAGCCCTGCGTTGCTCATGATAGTCTCATCACATAAGTAAAACATGTAGGCAGACAGAATGCTGCCTTGTCTTGCTCCTTTGCTGATTTCAAACCAACCTGTTTGACACTACATTGTTCCTACATGCGCTTCTGGCTAATGATCAAGATTCCCTAAATCACAATTATTAAGGTTCTATTAAATGTTCTGGAATTCCTAACTTTTTCATCACAAATCACATATTGTTCTAGTCCATACAGTCAAACGATCTGATGTTATCCATAAAACAAATTCTTTCTACATATTTCTTTCTTTACTTCACATGCTTTTTAAATAGCCACTTGATTTTTGCAACTTGGTCTCCAGTTCCTCTTCCTTCAACAAAACCGGAATGCTCAATTTATGTTTCTCTGTTTATTCTCAATCAGACCTGTTCAAAATTTCTCAGAGAGAAAAGTAGGTAAAGAGAAAATAGAGATAAAAAGACATAACAGAGAGAGTTAGAGACAAACAGTGAACTTGATGTTGGCTATTGGAAATCAAACTTGGGCCTTTAAAGTGAAGATTGTCGGTCAGTTGGGAATGAATGTGAAATGATGGAGATGAATAAATGATTCAGTAGTGCCTGCAGAAATTCAGCGAAGGAAAGTTTCTTCTCGCGTGCTCGCGCAGATTAATGAAGTATGGATAATGAACTATTTTTCAATGTAAATGCAAACAAAAAGCAAAGCAGACAATCGTATACAAGCAGTTCGGAATTTGATCGGTCAGATTCATTATCTCTTGTGTTCTTGAAGAAAGTTTCTTACAGAAAAAAATTAAAGTAATTTCGCTGAGCTGTCCAGTAGATTGATTATATTTACATTTATAGGTTACTGTTTCTTAGTCTTAATTAAACTCTAAGTCAAAGTCGATTATTTTGAATGGTTTAGAAATGAATGGCCAGGAAAATTTAAATGGTATTTTTCTAAAGGAACATGATACAGGCGTACTCTCTGAGAAAAAATGAAGGATATCTTACCTCCTGCACGTGAGCATACAAAAATGGGCCGGCACATACAGTTTGGTGCATGTCTATGAATGAGCGCACCTGATCAACCATCGCCTCCGTCTGCAAAGAATCAACAAGCTTATCTTATCAGTAGCACTTATCAGCAAACTCATTTATAATTATCAGGTTCTGTGCGCATGTTCTTTGACACCAAGATAGGGGTTGCCTAACTCAAAAGGTTTTCTCTTGTTCGCCTACCAAACAAATTAAGTGTTACAATCAATATACTGACCTGGCGCTTTGCAAGTTCCAGAGCTGACTGAAGTTTATCCACTTGATTTCTAGGGAATTTAAAGTATCATCATTGTAAATATTGAATGTTTGAAATGACGTAACCCATTCATTTTTGAAAATTGAAAAATAGGTCTTTTTGCGAGCAAAAATTTCACTAAATCAACCAATTTCTTTTCGTTTGTGGTCGATGAGTTTCAGGGCCAATTAAACCTACTTTGCTCAAACTGTAGTTTCGTATTTATCTGAGTAAGAATCGGCTTTATCTGCTCTGACAAGAAACAGCAAAAGGCAAATTCACTCACTTTTCTTAGTATAAAAAAAATTCTTTTCTTCAACTAGAAAACCCAGAAAAACTAAAACGAACGCTGCTGTTATCAATAAAGATATGTCAATAAAGAAAGTGAAGCGGTTTACTATTGTTGCAATCAATAGTAATTCCCATATATGGAACTGAGAAAATATCAATCTACATATACAAACGGACATTGCGTTAACTTGTAGAAAGGGACAAGAACGCAAAAAGTACCTAGAAAGAACGTCGAGGGCTTCCAAGAAATTATCCGAATAACTTTTGCTGTCACTCTAAAAGTAAAAGTGATACGATCAATAGATAACAAACTAGCAAAAAAGTGAAAACATGGAAAAAAGATTTGCAAGCTTAAGCCCTGCAAATTCAAAAACGTTTTGTAAAATTTGAAAACATAGAGTTGCTTTCCCAACGTAAAAGTTATTGAACAACCCTAAACTGTAGACACGCAATCTATGGTTAACTTATACTTAGGATATCATCGATTTTACATCGGGTGGTAATAGCAAATGGAATTTTTACGCCCGAAAGCTCTTGCCAAAAAAAATTATTTCCTTCCAAGGTCTGCAGGATAAATAAGATACAAATTGAAAGTGCAGGTTCCTGCCATTAGAACCAATAGAACTGCTTTTTTACTGCAAATCAATAATTATTTATTTTCACACTGTCTGAAAAATTGTTTTTTGTTCAGTATACCTGTTTGAATGCGTTACATTTATCTACTACAATTAAAGAAAGTTGCTCATATTCGAATTTTTACTGCAAAATTTTTGGAAATGATGTAGCTCAAACCACGACCTTTATGTTTCGAGTTCGACACAAATCATTGCAATCAGCTTTAATCCAAATTTTATAGCTAGATTCACCTTCAGTGAGTGGCAGAATATAGTAAACAATTAACTATGAGTATGGAAAGAGTGAACAGACAATTACTGATTTTCAAATTCTACTCTTTTTGGATTTCTTGTGTCCCACCTTGTCGTGCGTCACGTGGGGGTGACTAACGTGCCGCTCAGAGGTTTAAGGTGGGTTGTTATATGCATCGATCAGAAATATCAGCAACAATAAATACTGATATCTCGTTGAATGCAAATCTAACCTGTTGATGCCGCGTGGTCAAAGAACGTATAAGCAAACTTACAGCACAGGACATGTGGGAATTATAATATCACGCATGCGTATGAGGGAGTTGATGACCGCAAGTACGCATGACGACAATAGGGTACCTAGAAATGCTTTCATCTGCGGACAAATCCTCGCTCTCGCATATGTTTTGAAAGCATGCCAAAGCTAATTTCTTTAGTCCTGCTTAGAACACTATTGACACAAAAAAAAACAGAGCAACGAACAAAGGCAGGTAAATAAGTGCCAAACAAAAATATAGCATAGCAAGAACAAATTAGAAAAACGGCTTACCCCATCTTCTAACGTGGCACTAACAGCGGAAACAATATCAGCTGCACAAAACTTAGGAGCAAATAGGAGAACAAAAGTCATGAACAAATCAATTTATTCTGAAAAATAAAACGTAAATGCAACTAGATATAAAAATAAATGATTCCCTAACATTATTTCTCAAGCTGTCTGCAAGTTAATCCTAGTTGTAAATGTCTGCCATTTTAATTTTTTAAAAAATGAGGTTTTGAGGAATACTGATTGTAATAAAAATGGTGGTGACTTAGCCTAACTTTGGACAGGGACGTGCCATTTTGGAATTATGATTCCAAAAAAATTGGAACCATAATTCCGCACATGTCTGAAAAAATGTGACCCACACCCAAAATCGTCGTTTCTAAAAGACTGATCACTCAAAGAACAGGCTGAACACCCCAAGAACACCCCGATAACACCCTAAGAACAAGCTATTAAGCGGCTGAACACCGTTTAAAATATATTAAAATCGGCATATCATTCGAAAAATAATTTGGTCAATCAATCAAAATTAATTTTGGGGTGGAAAAGGGCATGATAAGTCTAATGCTGTTGGTGTTGTTACAACAAACTAATGTTTTGCGCGCCAAAAGTGTGAACGGGGGTTGGTAAAATGATGATTTAATGAAATTTAATCAGAGTTAATTTCACGAGAGGCTTTTGCATTGGCTGTAACTCCTGAGTTGATTATTGACTGTTATTCATATTTTTAGTCTCATGTGCCACGCTTTCTCGTGGTTCTCTTGCATTTGCGTTGCTCGTTTATTGGTATTGCGAAGTAGTCTTGGCCCCCGGGGGATTTGTTTAGTAATGCCAGGGCAAGATTTGTGGCTCATGGCGGTTTTCATTACCTAGGTTATTCTAAGGGGTATTCAAGGTTTTTGGCATAGTGTTGGTTTCACTTTGCTTGGTGAAAGGCGACGAAAAGAGTGTGCTGTTCATTTTCCCGGCCCTCCCTCCCTCTTTTTTTCTCTTGATGTATTCATTAAGATTCCACGTACCTTTAAGCATTCCTTTATGCTGTTAGCATTTATTTGGATGCTGTTAGGTAGGACTGGTGCATTGGCTGTTAGTAGGGAAAAGAGTCTTTTCTTGTCCACTCCCTCCCCTTTATCAATTAAATTTTGGGGATTATTATGGAAAATTCCAAAGTAACCGCTTCCTGTTTAAATCAGTGGTAGGTTTAGCGATTGGCGCCGATGCACCAACGGCCCAACTCGCTCTCGATGATGTGGGAACGTAGCCTCATGACTGATTTTCTGATGTCTAGGGCATGATTTCTGAGGGAGCTTTTTGCCCTTCATTTTGTTGGTATTTTATTCACGAGTTAGAAAGTTAATTGCTGTGTGGCTAAAGATGTTTACACGAAGAAAAGAATGGTAAAGCAGCTAGCTGTAGAGCTATCAACAAAGGTTGCAATTAAAGAATTAGATGAGGTTGCGGACAGTGAATGTTCTGAACCTATCTACAGTTCTCCAGGCACGGATGAATACACCAGCAAAACTAAGAGAGTGAATGATTGACTTATTAGGACTTATGCACGCATGCTCCGTTCATATTCTGTTATATGAATGTGTGTCTAGTATGTTCTGTTTATATTACATACAACAATTATATATAGTAGCTTGATTGATCTTCATTTCTCCGCTCTTCTGCTGTTTGCTCGTTACAAGGCCTTGGAAAGAAAAGACAACTGCATACCTTATTTCGGAAACCATATTGGGCAGTAAATGACGGACAGCTGATATCTTCAACTCTGCAAAAATTGTAATTGTAGCAGCTCTCAAAAGAACATAAGTTAGTTATACATAAACACATTTGGCAAAATATAACAATTGCTAAATACATTCTCTAAGTTCCGACTTAGGGGCTAACCCGGCTAACCTTTGTTGCAGTGTTATGTGTAAAAAACTCAAGGAAAAGAACTTGATAACGGAATATGCTCGACACATCGTTATTCAATAATCTCTTATTTATTCCTGGTACAATTTCTTCACATTCATAGTTATTCTTTATAATACTGAACCGCAATCTAGTATATTCAAGGAAAAAAACTTCAAAATGTCAACAGTTGCCGGATGATCGCATCAAGTGTAAAACTTAAGTAGCAACTTAGAACCGTCATATTCTATACACCAAACGTCTATACATAAACTCCCCACATAACGTACAGGGTTGTCTCTTGCATAAAAATAACGAAGCTGATTTTCAAAGGCTAGAACTAAACTTTAAAGACGAACTCGAAAGCCAAAACAATTTTTGAAAAGAAGTAACATAAAGAAGTAATTGTCATTCACGCGTGGATAACAATTTTTGCCGGAGAGTTATTCCTTTATTTGCAAAAAGACCTTTTTTAAAAAAGTAGAGAATTTCCATATACACCAATCTGGCCAAAAGAGTTGTGTATGGAATTTGTTGATAAGCTGTTTAGAAAAATGGTTGAAATGTCAAAAATTTCAGCATTTTTTATCATATATAAAAAAATAATTTTGGCCATGCAGTACTTTTTGCCCAGATGTTGTTTTGGCAGGCACAGATGCTAAACACAGATGTTGTGTCAGCCAACGCTGTGGCCTTGAATGGGCTGTCAAAACTATCAATAAAATCTCCCACCCTCGGGTAGCTCTGCTTGTATCTTCAAATAGATTTACAAAAAGGATATTTTTACAAAGAAACTCACCCGAATTTCTTGCAGTTTTCCTCTATTAGATCTTTGACATCACCTCTGAGCTGAACATCCATTGACGAAAAGTTTTGCTTGCACTGAATAATGGGCAGCCTTTATGAGTAAAGAAAGAATCTTTTCAAATTGAAACTTTTGAATGAATGAATGAATGAATGAATAAATGAATGGATGAATGGATGAATGAATGAACGAATGAATGTATGAATGAATGAATGAATGAATGAATGAATGAACGAGCGAATGAAAGAATGATTGAATGTTGATAATTAAAACTCAACAATTTTACGCTCCTACAAATCTTTTAAACAATAACATTAACATGACCTTTACAATAACTAGAGCTAAAAACAACGAAAGTAGAACTTAGGATAATAAGTAGCCCCCATTTATATCTACTATAGTGGCTACTTTAAAAATATGAGGTCAACGGAAAATGAACGAAAACTTAGACGCATACAACTGTTGTTAAATATGTTTTGACGCATACAACAGAAACAATTTTGACAACAACAACAATAATAATAATAATAGTAATAATGGAAACTTTTCATTTTTAATTCCAATTAAAACTACAATTACAAATCTCACTATTACAAGGTAATTTGTAACTGGCTAGCCTGTGTTTACAAAATAAAAACTATTACAATCGTAGTAATGAAAAAAGAAAAAAAATGTTAAAAGGGAAGTAGCTCTGGATTAGTCCAAGTTTTGTTTCTACAGCAGAATATATAGTATGTGGTGCGAATGGAGATGCTGGTAAGTTTGGAGATGAGATAGCGTTTCTGTTGATGATCAATGGACAAAGAGTCACACATGTTGATGAATGAGCTGCAGGAGTCGCCAAAAATACCAAGTGAACTGATGGAAAGATTGACAAACGAGACTGACTTAAACTGACGTTTTAAGTCAGATACGAGGATGGCATATTTCTCTGACTTTCTGACAGCATTGCAGTTGAGATTTGTTTCAAAGCCTATGGTTAGCTCTAAAACGTACAGACAGTTTTCCTTAGTTTTGAGAAGTAAGTCAGGGCGTAGTTGATCTCCAGTTATGATAGAAGGGGAAAGAAAGCCTGGTAAATCTGCGTAGAGAGAAGACCCGTTTATTGCTTGAAAGGAAGTGGCTAGAAAGTTTAATGCAGAATTATGACGCCAAGTATAGCGGCCTTGGTCAAGGTACACTTTGCATCCAGCAACAACATGTAGAAGTGTTTTTGGGATGTAGAAGACAGAATTCACAGTCAGATGTTTGACTAGGGTTCCATTTCAGCGAATTTTTAGGAGTTGGAAGAGTGTTGTTATGATACTTGATGGTAAAGTTAAAGATGTTACTCGGCAAATTGCTCTGTGTACTTGACCAAATACCGTTCAGCTTTTCCAGTGAATGTTTCAGTAGGAAGGTAATTGTAACTCCCTGAGATGGTAAGTTTTGAGAAAGACGTTATTTGTTGTCTGATTTGACACCGCTTTAATACCGCTTTAGTATTACGATAGATGTCGTACTGTAGGTTCGTGTCATGACTGGTGTTTTTCCCTAGGGTTTGAATGTCAATGTTAGGAGAAGATTTTAGGGCATTGCGACAGACCGTTTGGCATTGCGTAAATTTGATAGAAGGCAGCTGTAGATTTAGGCCAAACTGATTTTTTGAGAGGATTATTCCACTCAATGTTGCAGAAACAGGAAGATCAAGCCACTGGCGAATGTAATTGGAAACAAGATTGTCTAGGTTTTGGACAACCGAGGTCTTGGTAGATCTGCAACAGTAAAATGCCATGAAACTTTAGACAGAACATAATGATGGTAGAATAGCAGTTTGTTCAAAAATAATAATAATGATGAGCTAGAGAGTATGGACAGAAGAACCAGGAAATTAATGACAACGAATAAAGGACTTCATTCTAGAAGCGATGTAGCAAGAATTTATGTTAGCAGGAAAAGGGTGGTAGGGGGCTGGTATTGAAAATGAGACAAACAACCTGGCTTGGTATGTTAAGCATGCTAGAGGCAATAATATGTCAAAAGTGAGAGACCTTGGGACAATGAATACTGAGGGGGCAGTAGCACCAAATGTACATAAAAATGAGACAAGAAGGCACTTGGAAAAACGATGGAAAGATAAGCCGATGCATGGGCAATTTACTAAGAATACTGACGGAATTGATTGGGAAAAAAGCTGGTCGTGGTTAAGGAACGGAGATCTGAAAGGGTGCACTGAAGTATTAGTGTGAAGTGCACAGGAGCAGGCGCTGCGCGCTAATTATACCAAGCACTACATGGATAAAACAAGTGATACGCCTTTATGTATAATGTGCGGTGACAAGGGAGAAACATTTAGTCATCTGGTGAGCGAATGTGCTAAACTGGCACAGACAGAATATAAAAGACGACACGACAATGTGGCAAGGTATATGTTCATTGGTTGATAGCGGAAAAGTGCGGATTTGAAAAAGCCACAAAATGGTATGAGCAGAAACCTGAAGGAGTTTTAGAGAATCACAAGTTTAAGCTACTGTGGGATTTTATGATTCAATGTGATAGGGTTGTTGAAGCAAGAAGGCCAGACATTGTTGTTGTTGACAAGAAAAAAAAGGATGTGAAGATAATTGATATTGCCATTCCTGGTGATAATAGGGTAAAAGGCAAAGAACAAGAAAAAATTGAGAAATATCAACCATTAAAGGAGCATTTGAATGTATATCATATTGTTTTGAAGAGCACATGGAAAAGATCGGAATTGATGTAAAGTTTCAGGTGATACAAAAGACAGCACTACTAGGAACAGCCAGGATTTTGAGACAGACATTGTCTATGTAATTAACTTGAGATGACAGAATGGGACCTTTGTCAGCTTGTTGCTGACTGCTCCCTCCTATATTATCCGGACCAATTAACATCTAGGTGTCTGTGAATCACTAAATTAGTCATAATATTAATAATAATAATAATAATAATAATAATAATAATAATAAAAATAATTAATATTTAAAAGATCCATTACAGGTGGCTTTTCACTGTTAAAGTTACAATACCTAAAATAAATTTGTTTTTTAAAAATATTTACAGAAAAAAGGACTGTCTCTTGAATTAATTACATTGCTCAGCTCTATTAACTAAAAATTTGTTTGACAATGACAAAAACGTGTTATAGTTTGAAGAGTTTTGTTACTGTCTCTGGCAGGGAGTTGAATAGTCTAGCAGCATTATCCTGGAAAGGTTTGCTCTCTTTCTATGGTATTTCCAGCGATCTGTTGACATTTGATCTGAGTTCTCGCTTATTTTCTTTCACTTTCAGTTGCAAATAATTAGGCCACGTTTCCCAGTTCAATGCCCTAAAAACTTGTTTAAGGAGATCGAAATCTCTTCTTTCATTTATAGGAAGCCATCCTAATTTCAAGATATCTTTTGTACTCTTAACATAACGACCAGTAATAAACGATACGGCTGCTAACTGGACTCTCTGTAGATTTTTCTGAAGCATCACAGTTAGCGGCGTATAGACCTGATCGCCGTAGTCAATCTTTGCTAAGACGAGTGATTCTGCGAGCTGCTTCCTTAGACGAAACGGGGCAATATTCTTTAATTTCTTTAGAATGGATAAGGTTCCGTAGTATGAGCTAGTGATCGTCTTAACATGGTTCTCCAATTTTAAGTGTTCGTTTATAGTGACCCCCGTAGGCTATTTCTTTCCCTACTAACGGCAATTCTGCCTTATCGTTAGCAGTTGCAAAGATACGTAGATTAAACATCCTCTTACCCAAGACTAGCTAAAAAGTCATGTAACTTCTTCTGCCCTTTCATTGTCCAAATTCGAAACCTTCAAAGAAAGAATAATATTTAAATCATTTCTTAGTCAAGTTGATTCTGCGTTTTTTGTTAGTTTGCTTTGATTTGTTTACGTTGCTAACATAATTAGAGTTCAGGCAATGCAAACGTATTCATTCTACGCGTAAAGGAAATCATTCAGGCAAAAAGGACTAATGTATGCCAAAGTTTCTGTTTATGGGATTCTGGCTTCATCGCATATTATTGAGCAAAATGAAATGTGAAAGGAAAGGAAATGTCGATCAAGTAAGCTATCGAATAGAGTTATTGAGAGTCTGGGTTAAACTTCCATTTGTGTGAAAATGTTTGGAAAGAAAAGTAAGCAAAAGCTTCACTAATCCAAAATAGATTAAATAGGTTAGAAAACGCAAACAGGTTCATAAAAGGTTAAATAACTTTTGTGCAATTAAGGTGCAATTTGTGAAATTACCCTTTTCTCAAAACTTAAATGCACAATTATTCAGGACATATTATCACAAATATTAAGTTGCTCAAAGAAGGACCCTGAAGCACTATCCCCTAATTAATTCCTCTAGTTCTCCTCCTTTATCTGAATATCTATTTCAGCTTTCGGGGACTAGCTGCTTCCAGCCTACCCTTCTGATGCCTGCTTTTATGCTTATTTTATCTATGCAATCGTCAGGCAACTGTGAATCTATCATCAAGCTTTTACAACTGTAGTTAGGCCATAGTTTGGCATAGGTTAAAATCATTCTAACGTTGTAGATATTGGCAGAGCTGCAAAAAGTATCGGAACCTGGGAACTAGATTTCCAGAAAATTTTAAGCAAAACTTTGAAAAACAGCTGTTTTTCCTATTAGCAAAAAATCGTCTTGGTTTCTTCGCAACAGATCAAAAGTTTATACAAATGTGAGCTTAATGTCCGCGGGTTGTAGATGGCATCGAATGTAGAAGTTTCGCAATTTTTAAACCATTATAAAACTATTACTCATTTTAAACCGTCAATTATCACAATTAATTGTATAACTTGGAAAAAACCTTAGTTTTCTTGTCCAGGACCTTTTTAACAGATAAACCTGCAGACCTGAAATAGGCAATTCATGCGTTTGAAAAAGTGCTGTTTTAGTTGGCTTATATCAGGCTTTGATTTTGGATCTTTAAAGACCAAAAGCTATGAAAATAACATTCATCCTAAGTTTTCTGCCTGCTAGGGATACAGTACTTGACTTGAGTCTTGATTGATGTCTTGATAAACTTGGCAAAGTGTTGAATCTTGATTGAGTTCTTGGCTTGGCAAAGTTTTTGATGGCATCCTGGAAAAACCAGACCCAGAGACCCTAGGACCCCTGGACCCTTAAGTACTTAAGAAAAAGGACACTTAGACTCCGTTTACACGAGAGCGGATCCGAACTGGATCGGATCCAAAAGAGTAAGGATAGGCCTTGCGTTTACATGGAAACTGGTGGATCCGTATACTTTTGGATCTGCTTTCCGAACACTTTTGGGATCGCTTTCAGAGGTGATCCCGTATGGATCCGATCTGGACCGGATCCGGTGTAAACGGATAGATCTGGTCCAGATCGGATCCGTCTATGTAATTTTGTCGAAAGTGAGACAGAATATTTTTCAATTCAAGGTAGTTTGAATATGTAATCCGTGGCTTTTTGGCGCCAGGAAACCGAACATCAAGTTGATAGACTACTGTGTTGAAGAATTATTACGAAACTTTGACCATATGTCGTCGTAAATAAAGCCATTCTATGTACGACTTGCTTGTCAGTTTACTCCAAATTCCGAAGGCTAAAAAACGAAAAGGTCGAAAGAGCCACTAAAGCCTCAGGGCCTGAAGGCCTAAAATCCAAAGCATAGGTATTGCCACTAACAGGGGTGAGGGACACGACGGCGAATTTGCAGTTTCCCCACTCCAATCAGAAATTCTGCCAAAGGCTTGGTGTTCTGTTATCTCTATCCAAGCAATAGATACCTGGATATAGTTACTAATTAACATGTTTTTAGAACCAGATTCTTAATTCTATGCACTTTTAGAACCAGATTCTTAATTACCTGATGAAAACCCAGGCCGATGAAAGGCCGTCGCTACAGAGAGGGGGAGGGGGAGGGTGGAGGGGTGTAGCACCCCGTAGAAAAATATTTCACTGTAAACAACGTGTAGAGATGCTTCGAAAACTGTCAGAAATGTCGGCAAATAAAGGTGACTCACCCACTTTGTCGGCAGATGGGTTCGGAAACAGCAAGACTTTAATGATAGAAACGGAAACGGAAAAACGTATCTTTTTGCTTTGTTACCTTCCACAACATTTTACTTTATGCAGATTCAAATAACGGGGGAGAAGGGTCTTTTCGAAGTGTACGTACGAAAGGGGAGGTCACTTAGAAAGTACGACTGCGTACAAGGGGGAAGGGGAGTCACGAATATCGATTTTTTATGCCTACGTACTATGTGAATGACCCCGCCTCCGTTTCAGGGTCATTGCACATGCACATTATCACTTGAAGCCCTGGCAGGAAGTTCAACAGTTGTGTGGTCACAGACAGAACAGCCCTGCGAATACTGTTGTTAATGTGCATGTGCAATGACCCTGCAAAACTGATTGGTTTAAGACGGTATTGTTTTGAAACAAAGGACTGACGGTTTCATCTCCCAAAAAGTAACACTTAATAGAGAGAGGGGCGAAACAACATATGCGGAAACTACTCAATGAAGCACTTGACACACGAATAGCGAACAATCTATTCAAGTTTTGACTGCAAATGAATGGAACAGGCTTTTTAGTTCTTGATGGTTCTAGTTATAGAAATTTTTCAAATCGAAAAGTTCATTAGGGATTTCGTTTTTAGTAGTATAAGTTTTTTAAATATTTCGGCCTTCTACATGTAGGTTCCTTACAAAGTGGTTCCTTATAAAAAAGCGTGTATATCACATACCTCATAAAATGTTTGAATCTAGTCATAGTGTTACATTAATTAATCAAAAGGACAAGCTCTGGGGTGTCCAACACTCTGCTGCAATAGCGCTAACTGGGGTGTGCAAGGGGACATCTCACGCATTAAGCATGATTTCAGGAGACATGCTCCTTATAGAAAATAAAAACCATGGCTATTAGGAGCAAATGTAAAGTGCATAGATACAGAGCATAGGTACAGAGCATAGGTACAGAGCATAGGTACAGAGCATAGGTACAGAGCATAGGTACAGAGCATAGGTACAGAGCATAGGTACAGAGCATAGGTACAGAGCATAGGTACAGAGCATAGGTACAGAACATAGGTACAGAGCATAGGTACAGAGCATAGGTACAGAGCATAGGTACAGAGCATAGGTACAGAGCATAGGTACAGAGCATAGGTACAGAGCATAGGTACAGAGCATAGGTACAGAGCATAGGTACAGAGCATAGGTACAGAGCATAGGTACAGAACATAGGTACAGAGCATAGGTACAGAGCATAGGTACAGAGCATAGGTACAGAGCATAGGTACAGAGCATAGGTACAGAGCATAGGTACAGAGCATAGGTACAGAGCATAGGTACAGAACATAGGTAAAGAGCATAGGTACAGAGTATAGGTAAAGACCAGAACAAAACTTTGTTTACTTGCATGCAGTGTATCTTGTGTTGCAAATGCTATCGAAAAGTGACCAGTGTCTGTACAAAGTAATCCCAAGACTGAAATATAGTCAAGGACTACAGTCGAAAATAGGTATCGAATAATGCAACAAGGTCTAAATGTATTGGTTGTGTACTTGGAAAACAAACCATCGAATAGAATTGATATTTATAAATGGTACTTATTTATACATAACAATATATAAATTCATGATAAATGATATCATTGACATAAGCAATGGACTGACGCTGTAAACCAATTATAAGTTAAATATTGTTTATCACAAGAATAGCGAGAGCTTCCAGCATGGAGTGTTGCAAAACTGGAGCAAGATGAAATTCTTCGAAAATCTAAATCAATAAAAAGGATACTCGTCTTCGTAGGAGAGCCTGAGAGAACTTATAGATGAAGAAGAATCTTGCTCATTTACGTTCAATCTTAGGATATGTTCATGAAGGCTGGCAGCGTTGCTGACGTATGTTTCCCTAAAAAATCAATAAACTTATATGAAAGATACCTGGCACAAATCACATGTAAAGTGTAAAAGTTATGACGTAATATAAATCACTTACGAATACTATAGAAGAGCTCAAATACACGAGTTCAACCAAAATGTAGCCAGCAGAAGTTCTGAAGTTTGCTAACAGAACACTATAATTTTGGATTGGTTCTGAAATTCTTTCGATTTGAAAAGGGCGCCATTTTTCTGCAAGGATTCATTATGGGTACTACGAATTCACATCTTTTGGCCCTGTATATTCTTATAAGAGCACCATGGCGTCGTCTCCATGGTGCTCTTATAATATTTTCAAGAATATCAAGAATTCAACAATAAGATCAAGAATATTTTTACAGGTAGGCCTTGCTATTTTGGATGAAGTACCACACGCAACGTACATAGCAAATAAGCATTAAGAAAGAAGACTTTCATACAAGCAGTTGAATTTATGGACGGTCCTTTTGAAACATTTTATGGATAATTGTGAAAGGAGCCCAGGCTTAGGAATCACGAGGTGTGGTCACGTCGAGAGGAAGGACCAGGAAACTGCTCGATGAGAATAAGCTTCTCAGTATTCTAAAAACTCTTTCAAAAATAATATATTTAATAATCAATTTATTTACAGCAGGCTGGTATGATAAAGCTATCTATGTACAATTTATGTACAAGCTAATTTAGGTCTACTTTACAAAAATTTAGAATAAAAAAATTATGAATAAATAATTAATAATTACATGTATAAAACAGTTAGTTATTTAATGAAAGAAATGAAATTGAAGATTGAAAGAAATGAAATTGAAAAAAACTTTTTACAATGTTAAATTTTACAATGACTTTATAATTAAAAGATGTTTTAATATTTTCATCAAGACGACTTTTTTCTTATTTTCTTTTAAGGAATTCAACCTGAGCTAGGTAGCATCTACATAATTTACAACAACATTCTTCTCCTTTCCATTTTTTTATACAAGTTTTGAACAGGGCAAGATTTGATGATTCTATACCTTCGGATGCTAGGTAGAAACAAATATAAAAAAAAGAAGCTCGAATATCTGTGGCTCGGATAAAGAAAGTGTTGTAAACAAAATAAAGTCGGTGCGAGTGAATTTATTTTTAAAGAAGACCACAAAAAAGCATAAATATAAACTGTTCATCCCATTCGTAAATTTATGAAAAGAATTCAATAATTCTGTTTTTCCATCGGTCTAGGCCGCTTGTCCTAGGGCCCCTCCGCGGATGACGATGCTCTCCTAGCAAAAGGAGCTCGATCCAGTCTTTCTTATAGAGCAGTGAGCAGCCAGGTATATGTAGAAAATTCATATGTAGAAAATTCAAATCATAAAATTTTCTGTACAAAGTAGAACTTTTTTTGAGGTGCAAACAGTTTTTTGCAAGATTTGAAATGCCAATAAATGGTCTCCCTTTTAGCTCAAACATAGGTTTATTTGAATTGTTGCATTTTGATCAAGACCCTTGACCTTAGAACTCTTAGACGCCAGTTTATAATTATTGTTACTCAAATAACTCTCGCAAATAATTTTAACATTTCATGCGTTACTCGTTGCTGTCTGCAAACCGTGTCCACGGCAACTGTATGCAAATGGTATGTCTTTTGGTATGGCTATAAATTTTCTTGAGTGGACCACAACAATACAATCATCGATTAATCAAGGCACGTATGATTTTGCTGAAACCCTGTTTGGGAACTAGGTTGGTGAAGTGCCATCAACCTTACCTAGTAGTTAGATTTTTCGGCTACAATCTTAATAAATTCATTCAAACCTTTAACATTCAAATCAAACCTTTGATGGTTTCATTAAAACCTCAACACTGCTAGAAATCTTCTATGCTTTAGCAGGACAAAATATTGAAGCAAAAAACTATGCTTTTGCAGGGGGAGGCAAATGCCTTAAAAATGGCATTGAAGGTTCTATCAATAGAATAACTATAATTTTTGACTAAATATAAAGTAAAAAGTAAACTGTTAGAATTATAAGAGCTTATGAGGAACAAATATTCGAAAACTAGACTTTTGGCTTTACTTTTTTTAGGACCCAACATAGAAATACCTCTACTTTTTTATAGTCGCACGTAGTTGATAGTGAATAGTTTTTATAAATCTTGCCTCAGGAGCACCGCAAGGTGCAAATAATCTTGAGACAGTCAAGCCAAAGATCACGAAAAATATTCTCTTAAGGAAGGCCCAAAACAGGAAACTAAGGGGTTTGTAATGCAATTATAAAACGTGATTCCAAGGTCCCACGTGACCTCCAGCTTGAATGCATAATTATGATCGACCCTCGTTAACACCTTGCTCCGATGTAAGAATATTTGAGAATTACGTACCTCAGGACCTTTTCATGCACATACTGCTCCGTAAGGCCAATGGTGGCCCACCTAAGAAAGCAAAGAATTCAACTAATCGAAAAAAATTGAATTTCTTAATCTAATATAATAATTTGTTTTTTTTATCTTTCTTAACACATAAGAACAGAATTCAACGTGACATCATTGCTAATGGGGTGCCTTTTATTATGTGGATCATGCTTAATTAGTGAATATGAACGTTGCCTGTGCTTTTGCCTATGCTCATTGCCTATGCTTTTTGCCTATGCTCATTGCCTATGCTCTTTGCCTGTGCTCTTTGCCTATGCTCATTGCCTATGCTTTTTGCCTATGCTCATTGCCTATGCTCTTTGCCTATGCTCTTTGCCAATGCTCTTTGCCTATGCTCTTTGCCTATGCTCATTGCCTATGCTTTTTGCCTATGCTCTTTGCCTATGCTCTTTGCCTATGCTCTTTGCCTATGCTCTTTGCCTGTGCTCTTTGCCTATGCTCTTTGCCTTGCCAATGCTCTTTGCCTATGCTCTTTGCCTATGCTCTTTGCCTATGCTCATTGCCTATGCTCTTTGCTCTTTGCTATGCTCTTTGCCAATGCTCTTTGCCTATGCTCTTTGCCTATGCTCTTTGCCTATGCTCTTTGCCTATGCTCTTTGCCTATGCTCTTTGCCTATGCTCTTTGCCTATGCTCTTTGCCTATGCTCTTTGCCTATGCTCTTTGCCTATGCTCTTTGCCAATGCTCTTTGCCTATGCTCTTTGCCTATGCTCTTTGCCTATGCTCTTTGCCTATGCTCTTTGCCTGTGCTCTTTGCCTATGCTCTTTGCCAATGCTCTTTGCCTATGCTCTTTGCCTATGCTCTTTGCCTATGCTCTTTTCCTATGCTCTTTGCCTATGCTCTTTGCCTATGCTCTTTGCCTATGCTCTTTGCCTGTGCTCATTGCCTATTGTCATTGCCTATGCTCTTTGCTTATGCTCTTTGCCTATGCTCGTTGCCTATGCTCATTGCCTATGCTCTTTGCCTATGCTCTTTGCCTATGCTCATTGCCTATGCTCTTTGCCTATGCTCTTTGCCTGTGCTCTTTGCCTGTGCTCTTTGCCTATACTCATTGCCTCTGCTCTTTGCCTATGCTCTTTGCCTATGCTCTTTGCCTATTCTCTTTGCCTATGCTCTTTGCCTATGCTCTTTGCCTATGCTCTTTGCCTATGCTCTTTGCCTATGCTCTTTGCCTATGCTCTTTGCCTATTCTCTTTGCCTATGCTCTTTGCCTATGCTCTTTGCCTATGCTCTTTGCCTATGCTCTTTGCCTATGTTTTTAACTTACGCTCTTTACCCATGCACAGGTGGGGCAAACCAGCAAAAAATTGATGGTGGATGAAGACCACTCTTTTATTTTTATTGGCCGTGAAACTTATTTAGAAGAGAGAAAAACACCTTTAGAATGAGAATCTGAATTTTATTGATTAACAATAGACTCTTGATCAATTGACTAACAAAACAGCAACACGACCTTCATCTTGGAACAGGTTCACAGCGTTCTCAGCTCAAACGTGCCTCACCACCTCTCCACCAGTGTAATTTACAAATCTCGATGATATAGGCCGTAATTGCATTTATTGCGGTTTTTGCCCCACTTGTGTCATGGCGTCGGGAACTCTGAGATGGTCTATTCTCGCTCACCAGAAGTAAAAACATCCCCGATACCATTCTTAAATTTATGTTTGTGCGGAATATTTCATTAATTCCTGAATTTGGTGGTATTGGAACCAAAAACTTCAGTTCGATGCTCAAGAATATGACAATCAATAGAGTTAATTCAATTCCACTATTTTCTCTTAAGGTCTCTATTGTTTTTTAGGCATTCACATTGGCTGGTTGGAAATGTAAACAAACAATCCGATTCGCTTAAACATCGTTGATCCTCGTTAGGTCTCCCAAGATTCTCTCCCAGGTTTTCTACTGACTTGACTTGCTCGAAAATATGCCGTACTTCGAAAAAAGCCAATTCCAAAGTAGTCAATGCTATTCTAGAAACCGCAAAAATCGAGTCCCGAAAATAGGCCGAGAGGGAAAATAATAATGTGTAAAGGCAACAGGATTTGATTGAAAGAAAATGATTATATCATGCGAACTAACTCAACCAACGTGACACGCATACCACGGGAATTATCACGACAGGACTACAAAACAAATGGTCATGACATGCCTACAAACCAAATGCTCATTATAGGAACATCCAACCAAATAAATGGTCGTGAGCAGAATACCCACCAAATAATCACAACAGAACTTCTAACAAACTGATTAAAACAGAAAAAAAAACCAAATTATCATTATATGAAATCTAACAAAACGATAACAACTGTACTACTAATCAAAGGATAACAACAGGAATACTAACTAAATGATCAAAAATAGAATGCTAATGAAATGGTCGTGAGAGGAATACTCATCAAACGACCATGAAAAAAAGCAACCAAGTAGTCGTGAGAGGAATACTCACAAAATGACCACAACAGAAATACTCACAAAATGACCACAACAGAAATACTCACGAAATGATCACGACAGGAATACTAACCAAATGGTCGTGGGAGGAATACTCACAAAATGGTCGTGAGAGGAATACTCACCAAATGATCACGACAGAAATACTCACAAAATGACCACAACAGAAATACTCACAAAATGACCACAACAGAAATACTCACAAAATGACCACAACAGAAATACTCACAAAATGACCACAACAGAAATACTCACAAAATGACCACAACATAAATACTCACAAAATGACCACAACAGAAATACTCACAAAATGACCACAACAGAAATACTCACAAAATGACCACAACAGAAATACTCTAACCAAAGTCGGTCGTGGTGAGGATCTCAGCATAATGACCACAACAGAGAAAGTACTCACGAAACGTGATCAAGACAGGAATAGCGTATACGCAAAGTGGTCGTCTGGAGGAAAGTACTCACAAAATGGGTCGGAGAGGAATACTCACCAAATGACCACAACAGGAATACTAACCAAATGGTCGTGAGAGAAATACTAACCAAATGGTCGTGGGAGGAATATTCAGCAAATGACCACAACAGAAATACTAACCAAATAGTCGTGAGAGAAATACTAACCAAATGGTCGTGGGAGGAATACTCAGCAAATGACCACAACAGAAATACTCACGAAATGATCACGACAGGAATACTAACCAAATGGTCGTGGGAGGAATACTCACAAAATGGTCGTGAGAGGAATACTCACCAAATGACCACAACAGGAATACTAACCAAATGGTCGTGAGAGAAATACTAACCAAATGGTCGTGGGAGGAATACTCAGCAAATGACCACAACAGAAATACTCACGAAATGATCACGACAGGAATACTTACCAAATGGTTGTGGGAGGAATACTCACAAAATGGTCGTGAGAGGAATACTCACCAAATGACCACAACAGGAATACTAACCAAATAGTCGTGAGAGAAATACTAACCAAATGGTCGTGGGAGGAATACTCAGCAAATGACCACAACAGAAATACTCACGAAATGATCACGACAGGAATACTAACCAAATGGTTGTGAGAGGAATACTCACAAAATGGTCGTGAGAGGAATACTCAGCAAATGACCACAACAGAAATACTAACCAAATGGTCATGACATGCCTACTAGCCAAAAGATTACAACAGGAATGCCAACCAAATGATTACAACAGGAATAGGAGAGAAATTGTTGTGAGAGGAATACTAAGCCAATGATCATGATCAGAATAATAACGAATTTAACAATATAAGAGTGCAAACCAAATGATCACGATAGGAATACTAACGAACTGATCACGACATGCCTACTAGCTAAAAAATTACAACAGGAATACCAACCAAATGATCTACACAAAAAACAAACCCAAAAATCAAAAGTTTCATACTAACCAAATTAGAACGACTGGGATCCAAACAAAAAAGGCACTTGTGAATTATGTTACTGAGTTTCTTTTGGAGCATTTAAACAGAAATTTGGGTCTATTGGGGGGCTTTTTAAAATGTCATCAAAATTGGCAGTCAAAATGAAGTGAATTCTCCACTTCTCCCCTTATTAGTTGTCAGGACAGCTGTAAAATGAAGGATTCCCTGGAGGTTCTTTTCATACTCACGGTGTTCACTCCCTCAACGTTTTAAGGTTTTGGATGTAGGAATGCGAAATAACAAGGAATTTCGAAATCATAGTTTTTATATCAAGATTCATCCATGAAATGCCCAGAAATATACGTTGCATTCAGAATAAAGCACGGAAATGATTTTCAGGTTCCTGATAGGCCTTTCTTCGTTTTTGCTTTTAATATGCATGATGTTCTGTCAGATTCATGGACTGTCTCCTGGGTACTCAGTCGAAAAGCAGGTTGAAGCAGCATGTTTTGATCTTTAAAGCAGGCTTAGTTATAGCAGTTGCATGAGAATTTTCAAGAATGACTGTGTGATACGTGAAAATGATGACCCACCTCTGAATGCTAGGCCTGAATCTAAGAGAATGCCATCACAGACTTCAAGCAATTCAGTTATGACAACAGCAACCATTCCGGTACTGCAAGATGCTTTCCTTCATGTTATACTCTACCATGTAACTGAGTATCAAACGGTCTAAGCTGCAATTAGCCATTAGCTTTCCTTTGTGAACTTTAGCTTCGAATTTAGCCAAGAATGACAGACAACGGGTATTATAGATATTTTTAAAAGATGCCTCGGAGGAAAACCGAAAATTTTTATTTTAGGATATGAACGGTAAATATAATAAATTATCATCATGTAAAGTTTCCATAAATTGTCTTGAAATTTGTTTGAATTTTTTTCCTGTATTAAATTTGAATTTAGCTGAAATTGAAAATTCTGGTTAATTTAATACTATTTGAATCTTTGAATGAAATCCAATCTCGCAGGATTGGAAATAATTATACAACAAGGTGGGAATGATGAGATTGCAAATCTTGTTGATTGGTGTGATGGCAGACCCAATCTTGTTGTTTTGTATGATTGCAGACCTAGCTTTGTTGATTGGTGTGATGGCAGACCCAATCTTGTTGTTTTGTATGATTGCAGACCTAGCTTTGTTGATTGGTGTGATGGCAGACCCAATCTTGTTGTTTTGTATGATTGCAGACCTAGCTTTGTTGATTGGTGTGATGGCAGACCCAATCTTGTTGTTTTGTATGATTGCAGACCTAGCTTTGTTGATTGGTGTGATGGCAGATCCAATCTTGTTGTTTTGTATGATTGCAGACCTAGCTTTGTTGATTGGTGTGATGGCAGACCCAATCTTGTTGTTTTGTATGATTGCAGACCTAGCTTTGTTGATTGGTGTGAAAGCAGATCCAATCTTGTTGATTGGTGTGATTGCAGATCAAATCTTTCGACCTGATTTCCAGAAAACCTACCACGCACCCTAACATCCACCCTCGTTTTTTCAACTTGCAGCAATGCAGCAAAAGTTTATGGATAGTGAATATGGGCACAAGAAATTTCTACTTAAATCGATCACAGTGTATGGAGTAACCACAAAGAAATACGTGTGTGTTTAGTATTCTTCTACTTGAGTTAAAATTTAAGTTAGGCTGAAAGCTAGCACAAGGGCTAAATACCGGGTAAAGGGTTCCACATTTTTGGGAGGGGGTGCACTTTTATGCAGGGTAATATGGTAGAACATCATGGAAAGTCTAAAAAAACTTCAACGCCTACATTAAATATGGTAACAAAAGAGAAATCTATTAAACGCCAAGAGAAATCCGTCAAATAGAAATGCGATGATAATTTTTCATACCTGACGGCTTATATTTACATCGAAGAAGAGTTATTGCCTGCATGACACGAGTATGATACGTACCAGACCAGGTCGTTATTATCTTTACTCATTTTCCAGGCCAACTCATGCATGACAACCGCAGACTAAAAAAAAGACCGAAAGTTTTCAACAGAGAAAAAAACAAAAGAGATGGTGATTGGAAAAGAAAAGAGATGGTGATTGGAAAAAACAAAAGAGATGGTGATTGGAAAGCATCATATACATAAAGCGATCATGCTAGCTGCTTCATTACGAAGAAGTATGTCTTTTGTTGAAAGGTCAGCCATTCGATGTGGTTTTGAATAACTAACAATAAAATGTGGTTTTCTCCCTCTTTTTAAGCATAATAGCTTTTATAAAGACATTTCTCAGAAATAGAGTTAGCTTGTAGCTGTCAAAACATGGCTTCTACCATTTACAACGAAGTAAACAAGATAGGAAAAGAAACACGCACCACTGCCAAGAAACTAATTCTTCCAGGAAGCACCATGCGAAAGCGTCACATCACGTCATTCAGCAATTAAAAACTCGATTAGCATAGATTTTAATATCCTTTATTTGCAGACTTATGTGTGCGTGTTTGAGGTTCATATTGTCCATATAAAGAATGGATTGTAAAAAAAGGAAAATAAAAAAGGTGAGACTGTCAGGAGTCAGCCCAGCATAGATAGCTTCTAGTCTGGGCTCTTAGCACAGTATTTGACTTGAATTAAAATATAAAATAAACACAGAAACAATTAAAATATCACGTCAAAAGCAAGTAATGGCTTGTGGAAGAGTGTTTACATAGAGGCCTAGAGGCAACAGCCCTAATCTAAAAATAGAATCAAAGGATAATATTGTTTCTTTGTTATACTTTTATCGTGTAGAATTGTGCTCAAACCTATACATTCACGCCCATTTTAAACTTTAGTTAACTACGTATGGTTGAAATCCAAAATTGAGGACTGGGGTCAAGTACCCCAGTCTAAAAATAGCACTTGGGGGCACTTTTCAGCTTGTGTCTGTTCAGCATCATTATCAACGTGTCAAATTGCCCCAGTGTACCCATTTTCATGCTGGTACCACAATTTGCACAATTCATGTCAAATACTGTGCTTAGAGCCTAGACTATGAAGGTAAAACCCAGATTCGAGAACTGGGTTCCAGTACCCCATTCTAAAAATAGCATCAAGGGGTAAGATTGTCAAACAGATCTTTTCGTATTACTTTTCAGTTTGTTGAAAGAATGGAGAAAGCTACATTTCATATTCATATAAAAGAGAGTAATTATTTAAAGATTAATGCCTAAATAGAGACATGGGTACCAATTTCATATTCTAAAAATAGCATAAAGGGGCAATTTTTCATTTCCTTTTCTCTTAATATATTTCAAGATATGATAATGCACCTAAACCTTTCCTTTCCCACTTTTTTCATAAATCAGTAATGACATATGGAGATTGGCCCAGCTCGAGGACTGGGGCCAAGTACCCCAGTCTAAAAATAGCACTTGGGGGCATTTTTCGGCTTGTGTCTGTTCGGCATCGTCATCAGCATGTGAAATTACCTCAATGTACTAATTTTCATGCTGGTATCACAATTTGCACGATTTATGTTCTAACAGCCCAGACTATTCAGCAAAAGGGATCTGACAAAACCTTTATCTTAAGATAAACAATCTATAAACAATAGAGAAGGATCAAGTTTTACTCACTGACGTTCCATAAAATGTATACTCGTAGTATTGAAAAAGGATCTTTTCTCTGGAAAAGAGAAAAATGTTACTTACTGTTGTAAGCAGTGGTTCAGTGGTTCAGTGGTTCAGTGGTTCAGTGGTTCAGTGGTTCAGTGGTTCAGTGGTTCAGTGGTTCAGTGGTTCAGTAATTCAGTGGTTCAGTGGTTCAGTGGTTCAGTGGTTCAGTGGTTCAGTGGTTCATTATTATTAAAGGATTGTAAAGGGAAGACTCTGTTTACTCTTACAGTATATTTTATTAATATTACGATATCTTTAAAATAAACTAATCATTTTTCTTAGTTCTAAGAAAAGCAAATAATTTAGTTCATCATTATCAACTTAAAGGCAACTTCTGCCTTGAAAAATAAAACTTAAAGCCACATTATTCAAATACTCAATGCATTATGCGGTCTTTTGTTACCAAGAGAAAATAGAACAGCTTCTAGTATCTAGAGACCATAAAATATAATAGAGAAGACGTTCACAAAAATTACCAACTCGAAATAAAAAATTCTGCGAGCCATTTCTTGAATCACTCTCTAACCGACATGTTTGGAGTGATAAGCAGGTACTAGCACAAAAGTGTTATAAAATGCATTTTCGACTTACCTTTCCTGTTCCCATTTTCTTTTTCTAGCGTTCTTGCTTAGATACGAGCCCTGTTGGAAAGATTTATCGCTAAACTTTGTGCAATTTCAGGTCATGTAGCTATAATAAAAAACACAATACTTGCTTTTATTCGTTTATGTATTATGAAATTGAAAATAGTATTCACTCGGCCAATATCAATAACGTATTATGAAAGAAAAAAAGGGGGGCTAGAAAGACTGAGGTCAGCGGTGAAGCAAGAAATTTAAACTGGATGAAACTGCAACCTGCAACCCAGAGTGTCCTCTTTTATTGGTTCTAAAAAGTATGTTTTATTGATGTTTTACACAGTAAACCTTGAAGAAATATCATCGAGGTTAATTATAGCTAGTGTCATGGAATTCATCAAAGTAGAACATATTAAATAGGATTATCCCAAAGGTTATAATAACATACTTCATTGGTTCGTTGACGTTTAGAAGATGGTTCCAAATCTTTAGTGTTTTGGTCTAAATCATCGTCGTCTTCCTGCTCCGAGCTATGTACATCCTGAAAATGGTAAACAAACAATCAACGAAATGTTTGAGAAAGTGAGTAAGTCCCACAAAAGTTCATAGCTCCGTCGAACTATAACAAATTTGGCATCCCTTCAGTACGTTGACAAAAGCACTAGTAGCAAGGCGAGATATTCGCAGCTCTCGTAGCGCATTTTGGTCTATTAATAGAGGGTCAATTTAATAACATTCTGGGTGATTGCATTTCACAGACCTTGCAAATTATTTACTAACTTATTTAGACATATTTCTATTATTTGTTTATTATTCTCATTAATTCAGTAGATAACTTTCAATATGTTTGCAATGTCTGCATTTTGGATGTGTAAACATGGCCTACTGAAAATACTCGAGCCAAGGTGCACATTTTCAGGAAGAAAAATTCTCTCAATCAAAAATCGAACTTAAGGGCAAGATATGCTTTTGGTCTATATCACATCTTGTCAGAGTATCAAACTTATTGTTTTGTGAGAATTTGGTGCTTGCACAATCCTGCTGTATTTCTGCACTAATCTCCTGAACAAAAGAGAAATACATACCTGGCTATCGTAAACTTTTTCAAAATCTGGAATTTCATCGAATGTATCACCATCTTTTATCAATATTTTGACCTGACTTTGATTGTATACGTTATCCAAATCAAACGGACGATGGCTGTTAGAAATAAAAGTTCCACTAAGCTACTTATTATGGTCTTTATTTGATTATGCAACTAAAAGTTGGCAAAAAATCAGGTGTAAGGAAACAAAGATACAATAAAAAGGTCCTTACAGGTTGACAATTTAAGAAACTTATTTGCGTTGTAGAGATATCTAGTCATATTCTTTAGGGAAGGGTTGAAGAGCAGGTAACTTTCTGCTAAATTTAAGTGGGGTAGTGAACGAAAATTAACAATATTTTCAAATGGAAAAAGATTTAAACAAAGTACCTCCATGATTATGAAATAAATATGGAGCTAAGATTAATTTCAACTACAAATGGTTTTGAAATTTAAAGCAAAATGCTATCTGCTTTTATTGACAATATGTAGTCAAAGGCACTGCCGTAAAGAGGTTTATTTCTGTGTTATTTCTAATATTGACATTTCACTAAGCTTTTCCTTGTCACCGGACTGTGAAGAGGACTTGTAGAAAAATTATCCGTCACACTTTGCCTTTCAATGAAAATCGAACTTTACTGTGAAATTATTTCATAAAACCAAGATAAAATAACGATGACACATCATTATAACACAAATAACAAAATATACGAAAATAAGGTTGTGACAAGTGAGTTGCCAATGTAATAACCAGCTACGTTAAAAGAATGAGGATGTTTCTGACTATAGCAACCTGTCAAACGATCTGTACAAACAGTTGTTGGACCTGGAGAAGGCGAAAAATGCTAAGGAGAAGCTACTCTAAAACGGAGCCAAACATATTGTAGTCTGAATTATCATTTGAAGACAGGCATGGAAACAGCCAAGCGCTTTCTAGGACGTCTTCAAAAATAAAAGAAAGATGAGGCCCGTGATGACACCATTGAAACTGCGATTGCTATTTTGTAAGTCATGTAGTCCCTATCAGCTAGAGGCTGGATTGATTTGCTCCTTTCCCCCTTTTTGCGGGCCTTTATGCGGGAATTAGATAGAAAACTTCATAAACCTTTCAAAAACTTGTTAGCACATCAATAAAGAATAGAAATTTTGAATTTCCAACAATAAGACAATATAGGAAGTAATAAAAAATTTCTAACCTATCTACTATGTAGAAAATAGCTTCTTCGTCTGGGTCCAAACCGTCGCTGACGTTAAAAGTAGCACCACAGTTCACCAAAAAGTAGTGCTTCACCTATAGGCAAAAGTATTTGTAAAATTATTAAAGGAGGTTCGGACTTAAAAAGGAGAGACAGAGCCAGCGCATAATTACATGAGTCAATACTGTATTTCAAAGCTTTAGGTCTTTCACATTTCAAAGCAAATAGGAACAATTGTAGCTCGACAGGACTACCTCATGTGATAGCAGCCAAAGTGTTTTTTTAACGATTTCTATATCGTTGGTGCACATTATGGACAATCAATGACTTTATGGAAAGGCTGATTTCCTCGATTGAACAGACATATCACACAATTAAAGAATGTAACCAAATAAGCCAAATAAGTAGTTTGGTTGACCGGAACTAGACCACCATTCAGAATTCGTTTCGCTCTTCGCGACTCAGTGCAATGTGGTCTGTAAAGTTAATTTTCTATGTTTATAATTGAATTAAGATACATTCGCAATGAAAAATTTAGCTAGCTCAAATATTTACAGCTAAAAAGCAAAAAATTGTTACTGAATTCATATGAAACAATATAAAAATTAAATGCGAACTTGGTCTTTGTGTTGTTCGTACACTGTCTTAAGGCCAGTGACGTCTTCAATCGGAATAACTGTGTATTGGACATGGTCTCTCTGGAACAACCACTAGAACAAATTGCAACGTTAGAAAACAGAGAGTCTGGAAATCCTATTTATAGAAATACTATTTATATCGATGACATCATCTTGCACACCCCAAAACAAAACTTGCATACTCCAAAACAAAACTTGAAAACGACACAACAAGAAGTAACTTTTGTTTATTCAATCCTAACTTTACACTAAAATCTTGATTAAAACATAATTTGCAATAGCAATTCAATTAGAACATGGTACTAGAACATAATACCTCAAAATATAAGGGGACATCTCTCCGGCACCCAACAAAGAAACAATCAAAAAAGCTTACACTGTCAATAACAAAAAACAAAAAAAAGACAAAAAAGATGGGAAAAATTGCCTTTGAAAGAAGTTAGAGTGAAACCGTAGCATATCAATCTTATGTTTCATTTTATATGATTAGAAAACGTAAGCTTATTGCCAACCACAACACCCAGATATCTATGTTAGTCAGCGTTCATAGCTGTTTTCTCGTCAAAAATAAAGGCAGGTGGCCAACGCATTGAAGGACAGTCTCCAGACCCGTGCCCAGCCTTAATAAGATATCAGTCGTGACTGTTCAGTCGATAGAGCTATCATATTATCGATATCCACAAGTTTGCTATTAGGTCGACGATTCTTAGCAAAGTTCTTGAAAATGAGGCTCTCATTCTTAATATATAAAAAGCTTTCGAAATGTTCGAAACCAGATAAAAATTCCTTACATCTAACGGAAGACTAAAAGCAAAGGTAGTACAGATTATACAGGTAATGATTATACAGGTAATGGCATCTGGTTTATAGCTGAATCACCTCGCCTAAAACCTTGTTGTTTAGCGGAAAGGAAACATACACTCTAAGATATTAATATATAAGTAGAGAATAACATTCTCGAACATTTTGCCAAAAACATGCAGAAATGTGATTGGCCTGTAATATGTTTATTGGGAGAATTTTTAATCATAGAAACGACATTCTTCTTTGAAGTTTTGAGAATACTATACTTCTTGACTAAGAAACTGAGCATTATAAAAAGTAATGAGACAGAATAAAAACACCTCGTTATTAGGAAGGAGTTCATGACAACAAGTTTAAGGTTGACTAGAAAGTCACTGGTGCTTAAGACCACACTTACTAGAAGTATCTTGCATGCACATAGCGCATCAACATCCAGTGATACTAGAATTAGTACCCTCTAAAAAAGAAAAAGGCTTTTGTTCATGAAAATCATTCAAAACAAGAAAATCGAGACATTGGAAAAGGAAAAAGAATTTGGAGAAATATAAGGAAGTAGGCCAGCATATCATTTTACTACTAATTAAAATTTGCCACAGTAATTTGTACTAGTTATGTTTCTTTTCGTGTTTAATCGGCTGATATTAGCAAAATAGGTTTGACATAGCAAAATAAAGTGAAAAATAGCAGAAGTTGTAACGGGCAAAAGATCGATAGCAACAAAGATAAAGATTCTGCTGATTAAAACCAACAGTTCTCAATATAGCTTCAAAAATCCGAAGATTTTGTAAAAGAATCTGAATAATTCAATTATGACTGTTTTATGATGACGAATGAAAATGCCCTGCTTGCTTGATACAGCTGACACAAGCACTTTTCATTTTCATCTATATACTGCATTCTACTACCTGACCCATTATTGGTTCTAGGTCATAAATCTAATACCAACTTAATGTATTTTTGAATCAATTTGGCAATGTTTCTCAACAGTCAAGAGCCTGGGGATCACACCGAAGTTATCATCATAATTTTCCATGACAAGCAGAATGCGATTCAAGGCCTTGGTTAAATTGGTATTACAGCATTGTTTTGAAAAGTAAATGTTAGGAACAGGTCAAAATAATGTTTGCTGGATTACTTCAAGGCTAAATGGTCTCAACGCATCTGAATCCTGTCATTGAAAGCTTCTATAGCCTGCCAGAATCTGAGCAGTAAACCACTCTATGATAGAAATCCCGAGAAATCATTTTGCTTTGTGAAAATGTAGTATTTTCTTTACAAAAGTGAAGTTTGAGAATTTTCCGACAAAACAATGATTTTTCCAACCCTGCCCCCACCCCCAGCCACAACGCCCCCGATCCACATACTCCTCTCACAAAGTATTGCACTACCTCGAAGGAGGGTAAAAGATTGCATGAATTATCGAAAACTATTTCTATGCAAATTAATTGTTATGAAGTTGTGAATTGGAGTGGGTCAAATGCAAAACAGCCACCAATCAAAACTTATCTATTTAGAGCATTTGTTTGTAAAAAACAGTAGTAAATGTTATTTAACAATTTTAAAAATCAATATTTTGACAGCTAGCTGCCGACTTTTGACACCTCAATTAGCCTCCTGGAAATAGATGCATATATTTTGGCAATGTTTTCTTGTGGATCAAGGTTTGTAATGTTTTTCATACGAAGCCTAGCATTTTCAACGATTTGCAAACCTGGAATCGATGGAAACCATGGAAAAACTTGAACGCTTCTTGTTTGGAAATAAATTTTCTTAAAAACGGTTACTATTACCCAGGTAACATTTTATGCTGTATTGGTATAAGACACTCATTCTGATTTTCCTTGAAGGTATGGTGTGCATTTACCGCCAAATTTACTGATTGTAAAATTTCATCAAAGCTTTTTATCAAAGAACGTTGCACTAAGGCTTGTCAAACTTTCAACTAAAACCAAGATTCTAAGAAGCTCTCACTTGATTTTTCACACAATTTCCAAGTTTTCAAGTTTTCAGATTTCAATGCATGCAGAAAGCACACTTGTCATGGTTATACCTGGGGGCACGGAGAGAATTTCCAAGAGGGGTGCTGGTTCCTATTGATTTCGTCGGGTAAGCTGAATGGTTTCTTGGAGATAATTTATGTATGATTGTATGAATAGAGAAGGTTAGATGACTGTACATGATCCATATGTTAAACTGCTTTTTGTTTTTATTTCAGTGCATTCAAAATTTCTTAAAACTGGGGTTCAACAGATATTTTTGCATGCAAGCATTAACCCCCACCCCCCTTTGAGCCTACTTCTGAATGCAGATAACTTCAATTTAGAATAGTACAACTTAATGAAACACAGGGCCGTCGCTAAACATTTTCACTTAGGTGGGTGCAAGTCACCAATTTACCAACAAAATAGGGCGTGGCCTAAAATATTTAAATTTTTGTATGTGGAATTTTGGCGTAGTTGATTTTTATTTATAAGAAAGTATGTTCTCTTTAGTCAATCATCACTCCGATTTCCGCGTTGTAATTTACTTACCTGAGTACCTGAGGTTACCTTCTCAGAAAGCGGCACCAAAAAATTGAAACGTGGGGGGGGGGAGCTAGTAATAACGTTTAGTGGAATAGGAGGACCCACTATGGTTGGGTCCTGAAGAAAAGTTCCCAAATTAAGCCATCAAGAAAGGCTAGAAATTGATCTCCCAGACAAAAATTTAACAAATTACTTTACCGCTCAAAATAGATAATTCAACGATGCTCAGAAAATTGTTACTAGGGAAAAAATAGGAGGGGAGGGAGGTGTCAGATGTTGGGGAAAGATCAGGGAAGTTTATTCTGTGATTTTTAAACTGCCGAACTGTAGTGCTCTTTCTACTTTGTAATAAATCTCAAATTAGGAGTAGGGCACTTTACTGCCTGAACAACTGCATAACTATGCAGGAGGTTGGATGTTCATGACCTCAAATTGCGGCTAAAATTGAAGGGGGACCTGCTTGTTTCTTCATTCTCCTTTGCTGGGAACTGAACAATACCAATGCCAGTTCTTTGTTGGGAACTGAAAATAATAAATACTAATGTTGATACTTAAAAACTTTTTCTTTCCTTAAACAGGGCACACGATATCATATTCTAGACAGTTACAAACAAAGTTTACCAAGATCTCCCAACATTCCTAGCTCGATCCCAACACACACATTTTGCTAGCTGGTAAAGTTATTTTTCCAACATTAAGAAGTAGGGAACGGTTTGAGATGCAAGAAGATCATCCTTGCCAAAAGAGCAGTGTCTTCTAAGCCCATTGCCATCTTTCTAAGTTGGCAAACAAATGATTAAGTTGAGCAGCTGTTTAGGGCTTATGAAATTCATCCAGTTTTTGTTTGGATTTTCTTTTTTTGCTATGGTCAGCTCATTTTCTTTTCCTATTTTCCAGTTTGTCACAAACTTTGAGCAGTTGTAGCCTGGCACAGAACTTTTAACTGGCCATGAAGATCTGAAGGGGGCTCTGGTTATTGTGATCTGATAACCTCAGGCATGGTCAAGTGATCATTTTATCATAATCTATCAAAAGTCAAACTATTGATTACACATAATCGCTAGTCACTTGAAATAAAAATCAACTTACAATAACATCCTGCTTGATTTGGATTTGAATATATTCTTAACAAAAGCAATTTTGCAATTTTTTGAATGCTTGAGCCAGACTATCTATAATGTTTTCATATTTAAACTGTTTAGAATACATTTTTAGCCTTGTAACATCTTAGCATTACAAACGATACTTTAACATCTTTAACTTTAGAAAAAGACTTTCGCAGTTGACTTAAAGTGCCTATGAAATGAAATTTCATATATAGTTTTTTTCGATAGAAATCGAAACCTCTACATGTTGTTGCAATGAAAAAGATATTTAACTCGAAAATTTGCATGGGATATTTTATTTTGGGGGATTTGAAAACAATCAGTGCAAGTGACAAAGCAAGAAAATCAGTGACGTCAAAAGGTTCACAGTTGGTTCAGTCTTCACAATAAACACACCATAACCACAGGCCCAGCTGTTAGTCAGGCAACTGTGATACCAGCATGAAATTTTGGAAAAAGGGGTACTTTGACACGCTGAAAAGGATATGAAACCCTTTAGCCTGGGGTTCTTTGTCCTAGGCCCCTGACGGCAATATTACAATGTCCCTTTTGAAAGTAGGTACAATAGCACTAACCTTTACAACAGGGGGCAGTTAGATACGGTACAAAAGATAGGGTATAGAACCCAACTGGAAATTTTCCCCCTTCTCTATTTTCACATGGGGGTTCTTTGTTCCAGGCCTACAAACACAGTGTTAGTCGCATCTCAGTCATACTTTAGCATAAAAACTTTCAGAATAAGACAGTTTCATACGGTGAAAAAGATAGGATATAGATCCCATCTGAAAATTTCCCCCTTGTTCTATTTTTAGACTGTGGTATACTGTCCAGATCTTAATAGACGAATCATCGTATTTCAGCTGTACTTTAGTGATACAGTATGAACCCTTCGGCTATTTCAACTGTAGTTTCAAAAGCAACCTTCATTTTGCTTACTGTACTAAATAGACATATTTAGCATGTCATGGTTTCATGTTTGAATGTTGTAGAGATAACTCACAGACCAAACTGATTCAATAATTTCTTTTTCTAAACCAAATTACCCTAATTTCATTCCTCTCCCTAAGACAAGAGCCTCAGTGCTGACAGCAATGCTAGTCTATGTCAACTGGAGATGATTTTTTTTCTAAACATGCATGAGAAATAAACTTGATATATTTATAGGACATTCAGCAGTTTCATCCCAGTTTTGGACAAAGCCCCCTGAATCTTCAAAAAGCATCCTCTCCCATCCTATCAACATTTCTTTGTGAATTCTACAACAAAAACTAGTCTGTTGATAGTTGATTTGTTAAAGTGCCTCTTTGGGTAGTAATTGACAGCTCATTCACAGGCTGCATCCAAGGTTTTTGGACAAAACCCCCTGTATCTCAGAAAAGCCCACTCTACCACCCGATCAACATAAACTTTGTGATGTCACTGATAATATACGCTTTGTCACAGTTGAAAACGTGAAAATGGGATATTCAACCTTAATTTTTAGACGGTTCCGCAAGAAAAAAATCACCTCAACATCATTGAAATCATCAAATTTTGCTTATTCAAAGTGTGAATTGATCTAAACTTGTCAAATTTAATATCATAGGCACTTTACGTGATGAGAATGTGCATAAGACCTTCTAAGACAAGCAAGGATGCCTTAGGCCCACTCATGCTGTCAAATTTTGATAACACACAAGAAACAGACCTTGCAAGCAATCTTGAGTTGCTCTGTAGGCTGTTTCATTTATCCTGTTCTGTATAGTTGCCTTGAATTTTGCATTTAGCAATAATGCTATTTTCAGCTGAGAACAATTTTGTTAAAACGAGTTAAGCTCATCTCTTTCAATTTCTATGTCAACAGAAGGGCCAACTTGCAGATGCTTTCACAAAATTTATTTTTTAATCAACTACACTGAATTTGCATATCTTATTTTCATAGCTAAAATCATACTTAAAAGGTTTCTTTGAAACTTTGGCAATCATCTGCTAAATCCTTTATGTTGTTTGCATTTTCAGAATTGAATTGTGCATGTTTAAAATGATATTTTCCACAAAAGGTTTAGGCTCTATCATTATGAAAAACACTGTAATCAAATGCCAACACAAGCTGCATTTTTTCTTTTGCTTGCCAAGAAAATTGTGACAGTCCTGTCCCCTCTTCTGAAAACCACATGCGACTTGAAGTTTTACATAGTTATTAGTCATTGAAATACTATTTTTCAAATTCACCCAGAGTGTGCAGTTCTCTTGTCATGGTTTGAAAATAATTCATCCTTCCTTGGGCATTTTCTGGGCACTTTTTGTCAATTTTTTTATAACATGCAGCAACACTTTTACCCTGCTCTGCTTCATATTCAACAGTCAAACACTTATCAAGTGACAAGTCAAGCTTGTAAGCAAAAAATTAGATTGTTCAAGGGATGAATCTTCAAAACGATTCTCCTAGCACTTCCTTATTTAAATGCTATGTCTTGAGTAAAAGAAACAGGTTCTTTCCTACATGTCAGGGGCGGCTGGGAGTAGAAAAGTATTGGTATTAGCCTCCGAAATTAAGACATAAGAAGGTCCCTCCGCAAGGTCCTGAAACTATTTAGCAGGGGTGGAGCTTATATGTTCTTATTTAAGAAGGTGGGCAAAATGACCTTTTCGATATGATGGTTTAAAATAGCTTTTGGCAATACCATATCTTACAAAATTATTTGAAGGCACTGGCCCCCGTTGTCTCCCCCAGACACTGATGACCCTGTGGTAATGTAGTTCATCCTACTAGTTTTGGGTGAAGGATCGGTCCTACGAAATACAAATGAATTATGGCTGCGGCAAATTACTCGAGCGAAATCCTGTTTTGATACAGCGGTTTGCTGCCCAGTTATGGAGCCCCAAGGTATTAGCCCATTAATTCTAATACCATGAGGCTTTTGGCCCGCGAATGAGATTCTATTACGATAAAGCAAGCGATTTACTTTAGAGTAATGCAGCAAAAAAACGTAATATGTATCATTTGATTTGAGAAACCGAGAGAAATAATGTGAGAATGTTGCCTGTGACTCTACGGTCATATAGAATCAAAGTTTTACAAAACATACAGTTCATACAAAACAACTTTTACAACTGCCTTTAGCTTAAACAAATTATTTCATGACTGTTGCTATTTATATTCAGTGTCTAAATTTTGTCAATCAAATTATCAATCCAAAGGCATTGCTAGCAAAAGTACAGCTACATTTTGTAAATTCATAAAGTTAATTTCCAGAAATATTTTTTCTATAAGCTGAGGCCTTATAGAATAGAGCTGGGGCTCTTTCCACCGTCCCTTCCACTGACAGTGGCCCTTGTAGTATTAGAAATGAAAAACTAATACCTTACTGCTGTTCACCCATTCTTCTACCATGGCTCAACAAGAGTAATTCACGTCATGCAGACCACAACAGACAAAAGAAATTTCGGGGCAGTGTATTAGTTTTTGGAGGCTAATACCATGGCCAGGGCTGCTGATTACGGCATTGATTACACTTTTCAAAGATTTCAATGAGGATTAGGAAAGCTTTCATTCAACGAACAGAAAAGCAAATATAGCTTGGCTATATGAATAGAGCTGGTCGCATCGATAAAATTGTTGTGAAAAAGTGGCAGCGTACAAAAAGCAAAATAAATTTCCTGCAATCTCAGAGACCATAAGTCGCCTTCCTTTGAAAATAAAAAGGTATTAGACTAATACCTTTAATACCACCCCACGCCGCCCCTGCTACATGTGTCTACAGTTAACAATGGAATTTTGTTTAGTTAACCACTATATCAGGACTCTCAGTGATCCCTGTGCGCCTATTTGCTGACCCCCAGTTTTGAGAAATTCCAAATTTACTGAAATAGAAAAAAGGTTTTTTATATTTTTATATTGACACAACCTGACATAAATTATCACCAAAAACCTTTTCGGAGATTTCCAGAGAGTATAATAACATCATAAGAATTTCATCTCTAGCTTACCCCCAGAATTGATTGAAAGTGTCACCCCTTCTAGAAATGTTTTTCATGCCCCTGGGTATCACCATGAAATGGTTGGTGCTTTGTCCCAGTCGTAACTCCAAAAATTGGAGTCAAGTGACTGGAATTTATGACTAATGTGTTCAAAGTTTGCAAAAAGTGTTTGCCCAAAGTTTTTTTGTTCGAAATTATTAAGAATTGGCCCTAAGGTTGTATGAAGTTGTTTAGCAGAAACTTTTCCAACCAAAAGTTTATAACTTTAATGCAACAAATTTAAAAATGCTCCTGTGAATAACATGGTTGTTAAAGTGAGCAGCTTTCTCAAAAAGTTTTTGTTTGTATGTGCCTTTCTCATCTTTTACTTTCACTCTAACTCTCCCTATTTTGCAAGTGTATGTTATTCATATATGTGTGAATGCTGCATGTGTTGAAGTATGTCCCCTGAAGTAAGGATAATTGGTAAAAAAAACAACTAGAGCAATTGTTTGCTGGATGGTGGTCTCTCATATAAAACACATGTTGGCATGCTGGTAGGCTGTAAAGCCGGCTAAAAATGTTTAGGTTTGGATCATTAACATAGATGTACATTGGCGCATTAGTGCTGAAAGATGGATACATCAAAAATATCATCATTTTGTTAAATTCTTTATGTCAGTATCGTTTGGCAATAATTTGTATCCTTCCTTCTGTCCATGCATTTTAAAAGATCTCTTCAAAATCTATTGCTACAAAATATGCCTACTATTTCTCATGCAACACTGGTTATCTTCAGAATAAAATTTTATTTTTCTGGTCTACCTTGTGTAAAAAACCCATTTACAGTCTGGCTTATGAACCTACAATGCCTGCCAAAAATACTTGAAAAATGCAACAATTTGTGTTGATCTATAGCTTGCAATTAAAGCAAAAAAGATACTTTTTAATTTCACACACCATTTCTACACTCCCCTATCAAAAGTATTCAAACAGTCATATAGTGGGAATAAAATTAAAAAGTGATTCTGAAGTCTTCTGTGTCATAACAAAAACAACAGAAGAAGAAAATTATCGAAATTCCTTCCAACCAAATGTAAGGAAAGAGACAAATCTCAGTGCTGGTCTGGGGTTGTGTTACGGCGGCTTGAGGCGTGTCATCTTACTTTGGGATTGTTCTATCAAGGCCTCAATTTTTGTTGCTGTCCTCCACACTGTCCCTCCCGAAGGTGCCAGCAAGATTTATAAATATACAAATCAGCTTTTTATGTTTCAACAAGACAGTTTTCAATGTAATACATATAAGGATCCAAGTGATTATTTTATCTTTCAACAGAACCTAAACTATCTATCTATACTATTAATGTATATTATAATGTACATTAATAGTATAGATAGATAGTTAATATTGACCAATATGGTTATTATGCACAGGTTTGTTGAATAATCAATGTTGATGTACGACGGATTTTTGCAGGTATCGTATGAATAATAATTATTTAATGTTCATGTAACATCTGTTCAAGGGGCCTTTCCCAAAGTCCAGGCTGAATTTGATTAAAAATTCTTTGGTTAATTATGAAAAATTTAACTTTACTTTAATACCAGTACTTTTATCGCCTCTTCTTCAAACTTTTAAACGAGAGGGTCAAAAATCAAGATTCGACCAGTGCACAAACTCATGGCGATAAGACTCTATACTGTAAGTAGTATGCTTGAAAATTATCATGAGTTTTTTAAGACTTTTGGCAGACATCGTTTGAAAGGCTAAAAACACATTAACATTAACGACACATCAGACGTACCTCTGTTGATATGATGTCATAAACTTCCTCTTTCGGGCGTTCGACAAACATTTGGGCCTACTCGCACATTTCCCTACAAACTGAGAGTCATTTAGGCGGGAAAATTAGTGCTCCTTCTTTCTCGTTATCAAAAAGCCAAAACGAGGCTCCTGTCATGTTGATTGTCGGTCGGTCGGTCGGTCGGTCGGTCGGTCGGTCGGTCGGTCGGTCGGTCGATCGGTCGGTCGGTCGATCGGTCGGTCGGTCGGCCATCGGTCGGTCGGTCCGGGTCGTCGGTCGGTCGGCGTCGGTCGGTCGGCACTAGATGATAGGCAGCTAACGTACATGACGTGATACAAACTTTGGCAACCTGGTGCATGAGTGGTAGTATGACGTCATCGCGCTCCAACCATTTGATGAAAAACTATAATGCAAGTGGTATGAGATTCAATTCCTATGTCAACTGCCAATACCTCAGCTCATTCAATGTACTAAACACTAAACTATGGAAAATGAAGCTTGCAGCCTCCGTCTTATTTTACTTAGTCCTAGGTTTCAAAGATGTATAACGTCATGTACATTAGCTGACTATGATCTAGTGCCAACCTTGTTAGTCGGTGGGTTTATTTTCGGTGAAGTAGGGCCACAGAAAATTAATCCCACCAAAATTTTTGGAAACCGAATTTTTTTCTTACCGAAATTTTCCAACGCTAGAAAAATCTTATTTTACACCGATTGACTTTCAAACAAGCAAAAAAGATCTTCCTTGAATTATTTTGCATCCGATTTATATACTGTAAAAGCTCTATTAAACTACCTATCTTTATTAAGCCCCCTCTCTATTAACCCCCTTCTTATCAAGGAAAAAATATAAAAAAGCCCCCACTCTCTACTAAGTCTCTTATTCTAATGAAGATAAGGACCTTATTATTGATTAGTTAGATTTTCAAAGCTGCTAGCAAAGTTTTTTGAGAACATTTGTATGAAGTTTTTATAACAAAAACTAGAAGGGCGTTTTTAAAACATTTTTTATTTCAAGTTTTTCATAAGTCCCCTCTTTCTAATAAGTCCCCCTCACTTTTGAGCTGTAATAGTGCCAGCTTTCACGCTATTATTATTATTATTATTATTATTATTATTATTATTATTATATGACTTATGTTCCTCTAGGCCCTTCGCATTTAGGACATCGTATAGTTCCTTTAGGACAATTTGCAGACGCAGCATTACGCATATTAAGAAGTTCTATTATTGTACTAGTAGTTCCTCATCATGCATTACATTGGCAACTGTGTGTGACGCAGCATGGGGTTTTAATAGAGCTTTTACAGTATATCAATATTTAGTTTCTGACTCTCCTTGTAATCAACATTGAGATCTTCATTTTCTTTCCTTTCGCCCTCTGCATCCAAGAAAATTTGAGCTCTCGAATCGTTTCTTAAAACTTTTGCATAGGTCCAGTGTGAACAATTGCATAGCTCACTATTGGTTGCCACAACCACTGCAGAGGTGAACATGATTATAATTCGATAATTCAAATCTCACATATGCCCGCGCCACAAAATTGCGGAGGTGAAGTACACTCTGAACAAAAAATTTCCGCCTCTGCTCTATAGGCTAAACTGATACTTCTATTGGCTTTTTATAATTTCCCCAATTATTTCTTTCTCACGTCCCAGTGGTTTTAAAAGAGCGATAAAGAATTATGCTGGAATTCTTACTACCTGATAAAGACTTATGCTCGAAACGTCGTAGTAAATATTTATTTCTTGGACAAAGTCGTTGTGTTATTGTATCGAAAGTCTATTTTTAGAACTTTCTAGCTTTGACCACATTATCTGAAAATGACATAAAATACCTTTGTTCAAAATTGCATAAAAATGGATATCTTCAAAATTGGGTGAGATATGGCCAATGAATGATTTGACGTTTGCTAACGGATTACTGTTATTCTGGTCTATTTCATAAAGTTTTCAACCAAGACCAAATTTCAAAGGTTTGATAGGGAATGACCCTGTGCTTATATTTTATGTGTAAATACATGTAATAAGAGCAAAACTAAAAGAAAACATAATTGCATGCAAAAAGCAAAGAAACAAGTGTGTGAAGCTACTCAGAAAAACCAAACGTGATTTTTTCAGAAATGTGGATCCAAACGACATTACCGATAACCATAAATTCTGGAAGTCTGTCAAACCTTCCTTTTCAGATAAGGTTTCAATTTACCAATCAATTACCCTCATTGAAAACGGGAAACTTGTGAACGATAACCTTGCTATTGCAGAGATTCTCAACCATCATTTTGCTAATATAACCCAAGAATTAGGAATAACCAAAAACAAGGCTCATTCATCTCAGCATGTCAGTTGGAACAAAATGTCTCATTTTTCAAGTATTCCAATACCTTTTGAAATGTTTGTGTTGATATATAAAGTGTTGTTTCCAGTTTATTTTGTTATCTATAAGAATGCCAAGATATTTTATTTCTTTGATGGAAATGTTATCAATTTTGATATCAATGGTAGAATCCGTTTTTGTATTAGATAAAGTAATAAAATTAGATTTATCACAATTAAGGGATAATCTGTTAGCAGAAAGCCTTGCTGAAACATTCTTAAGTTAACGATTGACAATGGACGCAAGGTCCTTCGCACTAATATGGGAAAAAAGGTGCTTGTGTCGTCAGCAAAAAAGATTAAAGTTAAGAATTCTGGAGCAAGAGGTTAGGTCATTAATGTAGAGTTGTTGAGTTCGATTTGATAAGTATGACTGAAACAAATTTAAGGCAGAACTTCTTAAACCATAGTGTCTGATTTTATCTATCAAAATTTTGTGGCCAACCGTGTCAAAAGTCTTAGCAAAGTCTTAAAATTTACAAGAAGCTATTTCCTTTTTTATATGCTAGGGTTGTAGATTTTTTCTTTTGAAAGCAAAATTGATGTATGAAAAGTACATTATGTTCTTCTAAAAAACTTGTGATCCTTTTGTGCATAAGCTTTTCAAATATTTTATTAAAAATTGCCAGTAATGATATTAGACAAAAATTCAAAACATCTACTGAAATTGATTCAGATGAAGGATATTTTAACAAATTAATTTTAACAATTGGAAAAGGATATTTTAACAATTTAATAGATTTTAAACTTTTAAAATTTGTTAGTAGATTGGTTTGAATTTTAACCTATAACTTTTATGGTTTGATCCACATTTGTGTCTGGTCCTGTGGTTTTTGGTTATATTTTATGCTCGGACTTTGCCAAAAGTCTTTAATAAACCTGCGGACATAATGCTGCAATCTTTGATAAAAGACCAACAGAAAATGAAAAGCTTGTCATGCTTTTTATTAATAGTGCAGAAGAAAAATGAACTAAAAGTGTAACGAAAATTCAATGTTCATATAAATATTTAGCAACAGAGGATTCCTCTCTAAGATTTTCTAAGCCAGGAGATTTATTTTTGCGCTCGTTCATTTTCAGGCATTTCCAGGAAAGTCCTCCCCTTGTCTGTAAAAATTAAGATGAGACATTTGAAAGTGACCGTCAAGGACATACCAATGAACCCATGTGTGTGACTGAAACTAAAGCTAATGTCGTGCAACAAGAAATTGTCAATCAAGATGAAAAATCACCTGTGGAGCCAGAATCAAGTACAGAGGTTAGACTTCAAGAGAACAATTCTTGTTTGTTCTGGGACATTGGAACTGGAGTTGCCCAAGGGGCATCTTTCCCAAACGTTTAGAAAAGTTCCCCTTTTCTGAGACTTTTATGCCCCTTCTGTTTGTGCCTTTCCAACTTTCAGATGCTTTCGAAATCCCTGCGCTATGCACAATGTTTGCCAGAGATATATTAGATCTGTGATGTGTTTATATTAAAATCTGAAAAAGATGATGCCATTGTAGCTTGGTCTCCTATTATATTAGATCTCCTATGGTCCCATTCTTTATCTGTATACCTTTAAGGCACATTAATTTTAGCCCAATATTAATGGTAAATAGTTTTGATTCTGTTTTGTCAGCCTTCCAAAAGGCTAATTGTGAGTAAAGTCCTTAAAATGCAATTCCTACAGTGAAATCTTCCGAAAGTTATGTAAATTCCAATTACCACTGGTAGAGATTCTGAGTCATGAAGAAAAGATTTTTTACGGAAGCATAATTCTTTTTGACTGGAAGATCAAGACACCTTCTTTGAAAGCCAGGTTATATGTTTGCTATCTAGCTCAAGGTGCTTCAGGCTCAACGAGTTGTAACATTATTGAGGAAACACGTTTTTCAAAAGTAATTGTAGGGATTCTTTGAGAGCTGAAATGAGACGATATTTGTTTCTCTCGTTGATTGAAGGCATCAAAATGATAGAGTTGCTAGAGTTGATAGAGTCTTCTTCCTTGAAGCAGAGTTTCAGATATGTTTTTTGCCCGTTAAAGTTTGCCCGTTGCAGCCCCGCATTTAAGGTTGAATCGCATTTGTGTAACTGTTAATAACCAGCCGTTATTAACTACACACACTTAGCACGCAGCTAAAGCTGTTTGTGATACCGTGTGGCACATTTTAATTGCTGCAGCGAATGAGTGTGCGTAGCGTATGCATGAATGTTATAACGATGACATTATTGTAGCACAGAATATTATGCTTGATCCATCATGAACTGTTGATTATTTTTCGGCTGAGAGGCGTTTCTTACTCCTTTTTCATTGCAACCACCTTAATGCTTCTTGTATTTTTTAGTTTTGGCAAGGCTATGGCAGCAGCATCTATTTCCACCCGATGACATGCAAAACCTTGCCACTAAAGAGTGTGAAGTCGAAGCAAGGCAATTCGCAAATGTTGAGGTTTTCCAAAAGAACTCAACCGAGGAAGAAGCGCAATTCATCTGCAATGAGATATCGCATGGATATACCCAGTGTTAGGGAAATACTCTCCAGTCTGGGAACGCTGCAAGATCATGATGCAGAAGATAGAGAGCTCGTTGCAAGGTCTGGTGAAAGTTCAAGTTCGCCTGTCATGCGCACAGGCAATTTCGTTATGTCTAGTGAATCGGAAAAAGAAACTATGCAAAGGATTCGCATTTCGTGGAACTAATGAAGTTTCTAAGCCAAGAACGCAGCCGCCTACTCACTGTTTTGCATGGGAAACGAAAAAGGAAGTACCTATAGGAATCAAAGTTAGAAAAATGTTAGAGCTCTCGAAACACTCTATCGCAAATTCAACAACACCTGATTCTAAATCTAAGAGACAGCTAGGCAGTTTGGGTACAAGGAATGCGAATTCAACATTGCTTTCTAAGAATTTTCCACTGAACGTTTACCGACTAAACAGTCCGAGTAAGAAGGTCATCGAAGTGAAAACTTACCACTTGACGTGCAGTTTGCAGTCCATAAACAGGGTAAGCCTGTCCCCGTTCAAGAGTCCTTCGAATCAAAGACACGTGCATAGAATCACCATGCCAACATCTAGCAGCATGTTGTATCCTTCACCTGAACTATCAGACGACGAAGACAGTCCGGTTAGTCCCGATGTACAGGTGGTGGCTGATCACTTGCAAGAAATGAAGAGTAGTGATGACAATGGCCCAGTCGAATGCAGTAATGTATCCAACGAGGAGCAGTATGCTTATGACAGTGCGCTCATGTATTACGTAAGCAAAGTCAAATCTACTGAAGGCAACAGCAAGATTGACGGTGCTCTATCTGCGACTGGTTTGTTTTCAGAAAAACCGCAAATGGTGAAGTACGTAAGCAAGACTTGACAGCAAGATACTAGAGTTAAACGAAAGTAGAAAAATGCTAGTGACCTGCGAAACGTTCACGTGACAGGGCGAAATGTGATGCAAGAGTTTCCGACCGCGATAGGCCAAATAGAATCTTCCCGACTTAGGAATGACACTGTAGAACCGCTACTGGTCTCCGATTCGTTCCCTTCCATTACGAGTTTCCCTACAGCGCTGACACACAATAACTTGACATACAATAGCGTTGACTATATAGAGGACAGTGACCTGTCGTATACAGAACAATTAAAAGTTGTTCGTTTTGGCGACAGAGATGAACAGCATTTCATGAACGATATCTCTTTTTCGATGCCTGTAGAAAGTTCACCGGCTAAATTAGTCGATCGCTATGAAATTCCAACTTCAAACGGCTGTCGCTTGCCTATTATCGGACAGAAGATAACTACAAAGATTTAATCGCCCTTTCCGTATTACACACCGTTCAATATAGCTTTTTTCGATGACGAGAAGAGTAGTCCATTCTAGGATTTTCAAATCCTAAATGAAATGAAACAATCCCGTCCATTTATATGTATATGGCATGATGCATTTTGGGATAAAACGATGCATTTCTCGTAGAGAAAAATCAAAGGCAATTTTCATGCGATAGCTTGATTACTTGTCTGTCTCGACGTATTAAGATAGAAAACATGAAATCCCTTCGTCATTTTTGCGATTTTCTAAAAACATCGTTGCTGTGAACACTTTTCTTGCTTTTTATGTACGTTTTTTATTGATTGTTTCTACACGCAGAACTTTTCATGGTAGCTCTGTTATATGTTAATAGTTTTAATAGCAAAATGCTGGCATCCTCACCACAAGCTTCTTTTCTTGATAAAAAAGAAATATCATAGAAATGAAATGTAAATACAACATAGCTTCTACCTTTGTTTTAATCAAGTAAAAGTCCATTTCTACAACAACGTCACAGCCGTCGCCCCCAATGCTTTGAAGGACAATGGTCTTTTGCTCTAAAACAATAGGGAGATGTGATGTCATCTTATTAAAACAATAGGCTTGCCCCCCCCCAATATTTGACCAAATGTCCGCCCCTGCGCCACAGTAGAAAAGCCCATTTATGAACTCTCATTTTCTACACTGAATAAAATCAGGTAAATTCTAATTCTGCCAAGTTTGGGTGGGCAGCTATTAGAAGGGGACGGGCGCTTATTACAAGAAACAACAGCTTGTGTCTCGATTTTGTTTTCAAAGAGAAAAAAAATTCATAGCGTGTTATAAGAATTTGAAAAAATAGATATCCATAGAATATCATATAATGGTATTTTATACTGTAAATTGGACCAAGCAAAATGTGCGCTGCTTTTTCTTCCACCCCTAAAGTAGATTTATAGATTGTGATACAATTCATTTGATCGGTTTAAAAGCCAGTCAGAATGCGAGAAGCGGTTTGATAGCCAGAAAAACTGTCAGGATCAAATGGGGGTTGTGAAGTATTCTGGGATTACCCATGGTATATTTCTAACGGAGATAAAATTTGTTTTAGGTCTGAAAAATGTTACCACAGCTTCCCTAAGTATATCAATCATTCCTTTGCTATTGCTTGATACTTACACCTATCAGAAGAAAATAGCATTCCAAACATAACGTGCTTGCCTCTAGCTCGTTTGAATAGAGGATTTCCAATGAACGAACAATTTCGAGAAGTTGTAACTAAAGTCACGAAGCGGTTGCCCCCATTTACAGATAATTTTTCTTGCGTACTCTTTGAAGAATGGAAATATATCTGAAAAAAACTATCCGATAAAGACCAGATGACATAAGATAATTGTTAATACATGCAAAGAATCTAAAGATGTAAGTTCAATTGAAAAGACCTTGAAGTGACAGCAAAACGGTAGAGAAAATATTGTAACGGCATTTTGCAAAAGTTTAGACGTAACTATTTAGTATCAACTCAGACATACTCAAAAACTAATAAGTATGTATTTACCAGTTTCAATTTTGTCTTGTTGAATTCCTTCAATGAGAACCATCAGTGTAGTTCTAAAAGCCAACATTTGAATTTGCACACCAAATTTACAATAGAATTCATATAGAAAACTGAATGCACGTTACAATATGGACGTTCGCACGCGAAAGTACCTGCGTGTCGAGAGCTGCTTTACTGGGAAAACAATCCAACAAGTGGTGTATTGATATCAAAATATTAAGGGGGGCTCTTGTACAAATGCTGCGAAAACCATAGCAAAATTAGAAATTTGCAGATTATCGGCATTATTTATTCAGTTTTGGCATTTACAAGTGGGGCGAGCCCCCCTCCCAGGGACGGACTTAGCGGGGAAGTGTAGAGGGTGCGACACCTCCCCCAATATTTCTGTCTCCTTCGGTAAATTTGGTTCCATTCGGTAAAAACCATTTTTTGGTAGTCAGCAGTAACAAATTAACGCCAAGATTTTACTTTATTTATCCCCTTGATATCAGTATTTATCTTCTTATCAGTAGCGTAGCGGGGGGAGGCAAGGGGAGCGGCCGCTCAGAAAGTCGGTGTCTGAGAAAAGTACAAATCTGCAATATAATTAGTACCTTAAAGGGGGACCTTATATTTCAGACGATATTAAAACGTTTTTAAAGACTGCAAACGACTGTAAGAAATATTCTGAAATGTATTTCAAGCTAATCTGAAGGGCGTCGGCGCAAAAATTTGCTGCTCACTTCGCTCGCACAGGGACCCTCCTTTATAACTCTACAGAATGTTCAACAATTTATCCCACGTTATAGGATTCAAATAGAAAAGTCTTTCACATTCTTTAGACAATCCCGATAAAATAGAAACTAAAATGCTAAAGCGCTTCAATCCTTAAAAAAATTGGATTCTGAAATGCTTGTCGGGGATTTTAATCCAAGGAGAACGGAATTAGTTTAAAACATTTGAATATTATTTGTTATTTTTAGATATTTGAACATGTGGAGAATCAGTTTTTACACGTAGTGCTTCCTCGCCTTACATAATTCAAAATGTAAGGGTTAGATAAATCGTCAAGAAATAGGCATTTGTAGAATGGGGTCAGCCAGAAAAAGCCAGATATGACGTTGTATAAAGCGAAATTGCCACGTAAAAAAGCCATAGCTTTTCCAAACGCTTTTGCAAAATGAGGTGTTTTCCTAAATTCTTAAGGGTGTGGTCAGCAAGAATTTTCTCCTCTTTGCCCCTCCAATCTTCCAATCCTGGCTACGCCACTGCTTCTTATCGTCTTTACCTTAAAGTTAAAAACAGAAATTAAAAATGGGCGTTTCCATAATTTACCAGTGACATGAAGGGTGTGGCACCAAAATTAGTGTCTAACACTAATCATTGTTGCTTAGATCCGCCTCTGCCCCCTCCTAGCACTACACTCCTGAATCCAACCTGAAAATTTTGGAAAAATTAAGAACAGACATTGTGTACCTCAATTTACTGGCTTTCTTTGATGAAAAGGAACGGTAACATTGATCTATAAACATTTCTTTCAAAATCTGCTGGGATAACAGAGAGGAGCTCATAGCACTGCGATGTTTGGCAGGACACGAAGGAGCGAACAAGAACAGCCAAAATGGCGCATATGGCAGTAGTAAGTAAGGGCAAAGTGGCAAGCAAAATTGCCAAGCCATTGCTCTCAACCAACAACGCAGAAGCAAGAACGCGTGTTTTGAATCTCTACAGAGCATGGATGCGTGAGGTAATCTATATTTTATCATCATACATGTTAAATTTAATCAAATGTATTAGCATCGCCCGTGAAGCACAAATCTGGTGAAATCTACAGACAAGTAAGTCTGGTCTGCTCTGCTTGGTAAACACCAAACCAAAGCTGTGGATGTTTTATCGAGACAAAAACCAAAATTAACCTCTTTGTTAGGCGTGAAATGGACTATTGACGCAAAATTGTTAGCATTTTGATCTGTTTTTCAACTTGATTAAGTGCATTTTTTTCTCCATTATCAGGTACATTCCATAATAACATCAGGCACTAAAAACAAAAGTGTGGTCCTTTTTCGAAAACGATGAACGTAAAAAGTACAGAATACAAGAAAAAGAATCATACATCTGACATGACCTTTATTTGCAAAGCACACCAATCAATCTTTAACATTTTTTTGCTATTGTATATTTTTCATGAACATTATAATGTTCATGAAAAATATACAATAGCAAAACAAATTAAAGGTTAACTACTGACTAAGAAATTATAAGTTACTTTATAAAACTGTATTTAAGATTGACTGATTAAGGAAAAGCTCTCTAAGTAGGTTTTCTTATCATGAGAACCTCCTCCCCACCCCCTCCTCATTTAAGTGAGAAATTGACAACAAATTTATGTTGTATGCATGACATTTTTCTGCAGCACTGAATAATAAATATTAATGTTTAATGCAACATTAAATGTGACAAAACTTTAACAGCAAAACCACAAAACCAGATGGCATAGACCATTGACATCTCAGACAGATGTAGGCTTGTGTCACCTCATATCAGGACTCATCAAAGATAGACAGATTGGGGTTACAAAATTGCCCAATCATTCGGCTGCCAATGGCATTGTATATGTGAGCTAGTGCCAAAAGAAAAAAACTTGACTTTTTGAACAAGAAATTATTTTTATCAGAAAGTTGCCCTTAGGCTTTTCTAAATCTTCTCTTATCCTTGATTCTAGTTGAGTTCGTAAAGAAACCAGTTACAGATAAGTAGGTACAGTTGCAGTGCAGTTAGGTTTCATAGAGTAAAAATTCATAGGGTAAAATATCAACATTGGATAAATACTATCTTAGTCTTGGAGCTGCTGCTCTGTTGCTTAACTTATTTATTTGTTATCATTTGTTGTTAACTTTTTGTGTGTTTTTGTTTGTTTGTTTTTTGTTTTTGTTTTTGTTTACATCAACAGAGCCTTCAGTATTGAAGTAGTTAATTAAATTCGTAGAAGTGGAAGTAGAAGAGTTTCCCCACTTGTCTCTGCCACATTGACTGTTTTGGTTGCAGTTGTTTTGCTTTTGATGAAAAAAGAAACTAAGGGTATTTTGTTTGATTTTTTATTCTAGTGCACAGATTTTTTTCCAACAGTTTGCAATACAACTTAGATATCATTTGGTTATGCAAAACCAATGTCCAGCCTCTCTTATTCCTTGATTCTTTATTAAAGGGTAAATTTGAATTTTTTGGAAATGCAAACAATTTTAACATCTCAACTTGTTTCCAACCGTAGATGCCTCATGCTGTGCAATCGCATGCATTAGACATCACAGTGAGGCAAGGAAAGGACAAAGTGCGAGAAATTTTCAGAAACAACATGCATATAAAAGACCTAAGGGTTATAGACATGCTTTGTATAAAGGTGAGTTGATAATATCCAAGTGAGAGTGCGACAGTGAAGCTTTTTATCCATGTGTTCATCTCATATTGAGCTGCTAATGCATCACCACTAGTTAAGAGCAGCATCACTCATCGTCTCCTGAGACATGTTTGGAATACCAAGAGGACTTCCTTGCTGACCAAGCCCTTCCTAAACAACTCATCTTTTATTCCAAGAGCTTGCAAAGTTTGGACTCTTTACCCGGTTCTTATATTGTGTCTTCCTTAGAAACTAAAATTAGCAAATTTATCCCCCCTCTTGTCTCTCTTATCCTTCCCCCCTTTTCCTTTAGTAGAGCACCCTAGCAATTCCCTAATGTTGTCAACCTTATAAAATGAAAGTCCTTGTTTTGCTATGGAAAAGAAAACAACATTCACATGTTTTTCATTTCTAAGTAATTTAGTTTCAAGGCCCCAAGTGTGATTGTGATCTTTTGAATTAAGCTAAATCATGTTCTCCAACTTTTGTGGGAAGGATATGCTCTGCTTTTTGTTTCTTTTTAGAAGGTCTCATACACAATCCCATTTGTAAAAAAAGTCTTACCTGGTGATTAGCCAGGCTAGAATCATTAAAAAAGACAAAGAAAGGCTAATTTTGGTTTCTGAATGATCAAAGTGGATTTCAAAATCTTGTGATGTAAACAACAAATTTATAGCATTGTTTCACAAATAAATTATATTGCCAAATTTATCCAGTGATAACTTTCACAATATAATTAACAGTTATAAGTTTCTGCATCCTCTTAAAATCAGTTTAATGTTGAAAGGTGATCAAAGACTTTGCAAAATTTGACAATAAAAAAATACCTCCACTTTAAAAGAACAAAATTTTAATGTGTGTAAGCCTTGGCTTCAAAGAACTCAACACCAATAACTTTCCTGTAAATTTTCAGTGCACAATTGTCTTGTTGTCTGAAAAAAAATGATATTTAGTGTTTGTTCAAAGTATCTTGAAATGCAGTGTCTAATCGTTAAATAATGCATTTAGTAGCACATTTCTTGCAGAGTTTTTATACCTGCCTTCAGGTAAACATTGAATACTCCATTTAGGATAAAACAAATTTGGCAGAATAAAGAAATGATAACCCTAGCGTAGTAGATTTTTGGATTTTTTTAAATCATTATTTGTGTACCACATTTTGAATATGAGCTTGAAACAGAAAGCATTTTGAAGTGGCAAAACGGAGGCTGTTTCTTGTGACCATAAATGGCGTTTACTTCCTCTGGGAACTTGTAAAACGAGATAAAAATGTATTGGGTTGAAAGAAGAACTGCATTAAAGATCTGCGATAAATATCTAAGAAATTTTTTGCATTTTCAGCTTTTAGTAATTGACCATTTCAAGGGCATTTCATCTCTTGTGGTGATACCTAAAAATATGAATAATCAGAAAAGTTTGAAAAGTATATGTAAGAGAATGTAGATTGGCCACTGACTGGTGGCAAACCAGGGCTGTAGAGCTGGGATTGCCTAGAAGAGGGCTAAGCCTTTTCAATGTCAAAAGTAACCGTTTTCTACTTTGTTCTTGCAAAGTTTTTTTGAGAGCCAATTTTTTTTTTCAAAACAATACAACCCAAACAAATCAATGCTTTATCCACCCCATTCTTTGCTCCAGAACCTTATCCTCTGGTTCTCTTTGTATGAAGGTTTGTTCTAATGGGGGATTTTCTTTGCATTCACAGGGAACATTGGAGTTGGAAGAAACACACAACATCTGGAAGCAAAGCACCCATATTATGAGATATTTTAAGGAAACGGAAAGAGAAAAGAAGGACGATTTTATGTCGAAATTTTACGAAGGTTATAACTAAATTTGGTAGTGTCGGGCTTTCTAAAATCTCTTGGTTTGGACAAATGCGCCCATCAATGAGTGGTTAGATAATTTTACTTTTGAAGCGATGTTGACCGTATGTGATATTTAAGATTTTTCATTCGTGTCCCAAATCCTCTGTCTTTTTTGCCATAATTTTGATTCGAGAATGTGACTGTTTTTTGAAGAAACCTTTCTTTTTGATTGTGCAAATAAACAAATTTCAATTTCGCTTCTAGTTTCCGGAATTGATTTAATTAATGCGACTATAAAAAGGGCGTCATATCCATGAAATACTGTTTTGGTATAGAAAGATTTGGAGAGAGATAAACAGCTTAAAAGGGTATTTCAAAGTTATTATTGAAAATCCCACTGCCGTTTGTCGGTGAAAAAGTTCAGCAAGCCAGCAGGGTATTCAAATTTTATTCGTTTTATGGGTGTGCATGCCTTTGCGTTGCTCCTGGTAGACCTGCGCCAACTCACCGAGTACGTGCTGTCAGCATTTTAGTTTATTACCGTAAATCCTCGAATTGCCCCCCCCCCTCTCGAAAAAGCCCTCCCCTCGAATAAGCCCCCACTCTAAAACTACAAACTGTCAATAAGCCCCCCCTCGAATAAGCCCCCACTGCTACCGTATATTCTCGAATTGGACCCCTCACTTTACACCGCACAAAACTATAATGGCGACATGTTTCGGATTATTGGTAAAGCCCGATCGTCGGTCCACCTAGCAGTTTTAGAATCTATCTACATAAGCATGAAAAAACCGCTACTGTGTAGACAAAAGGAGTTCGTCTTCACCTTAGGACTCCACTGGTAACATTCTAATAGGCAAGCGGCACTGATTGGTCAACCTTTACAGTCATGTGCTCGTGTTTCTGATTGGCCTATTTCGATCCACAATTGGGTATATATATTTCTTAGCGTAGAGTTTTCGATCTATGTTCTGACGTTTTAAACTCTAAAGAGTGTCAAACAAAAAGCTTTAGTTTACTAAATGTTTGCTTTTTTCAAAGCCATTGATAACTAGAATGTTTGACGAGGGTTGAAATGACCATTATAATAATCAGTTTGAATTCGAATGCAGTGTGCAGCCGTTTTGAAATGCTTTCATACCTTTCACGCACGTTACAAGTAAACCACCCGCAAATTACCTTGAAAGTTATATCTGCATCAAAAGCAAAGTTGGAAAGTGTTTTGTGTTTTGTGCTTGGGTTTTAAATAAAAATGAAAACTGTCAATTGTGTCAATTATAATAACGGTTGGTGTTTATGAAAGTGGTGGTTTATGATTATCATAATGACCGTTATTAATTGTCTTAGTGGATGGGCGATGAATGACTGTCAACGCCGGTGTTGCCTTGCGAACATTTGATGTCTACAGGTGCTAGTATTTGAACAAGTCGTTTATATGTTGATATATCAATAGTTTTAGCAGAAAGGCGTCTGCGGAAGGAAGCAGGGCTCGAAGAAACACATCATTGTTTACTTGATGGAGCTCAGAAAAGTTGGAGCTTGATGGTTTGTTTAGATTTGGAATTAAGTCAGTGATGGTGGATACTTTGTTTGCTTGTTAAGACAAATAGCGGAAGCGGAGGGCTGTGAATTGTAGCGCCGCTTGATTTGTTTTATGGCTGTACGTGTTGGTCTTTGAGGGATGAACACAAAGCGAAAAAGCCGTACTACTATGTTGGCACTTTTTGTTGTCTTATTTGGTGAGTATTTGATTTTGTGTTTTTATGAGTTGTTTAACATTTGTGGTGTAATGGATCGCCATAAACCCTCGAAGTACGCGTGTTACGGATTCTTTGGCATTGACAAGGCCGCCTGCTAAAAAATTCACTAACTTAACCCATTTCCTCAAGGTTTTTAAACATTAAAAGGCAAATCACAGATGCAAAAGTGGCACTTTGGTAAAATCTCGACTTCTGGACAGGGTAACCGGAGGTTTTTCACTTGTTTCCACTTCCTTGGACGTTTGACTTGGAGAAAATTTTAAAGGGTGTCCAAAAGAATTTCTCCCTAGATGTCACGTGATCGATGACGTAAATTTTAACGGTCAGAAAAAAATAAAAATCGTCAAATTTGAAAACAATTAACATCAATCGAAAGAATATAAAAAACTGAACAAAAAATACTTAGAAGCATATATCCTAAAATCAACCAGTTAAAAACTATCACGTGTCAAAGTATTGATGACGTCTCCATATGCGCAAGTCACAAGTACGGGAAACTGGTAATTTCCGCCATTTTTGGCCTCTTTTATTGATACTATTGTGGAATATCCATGTTGACAAGGTATGAGGCGTATATGATGTTACAGTGGATATATAAAGGTGTAAAGCGTAGCCCCTATGCCTATGCCTTCGTCGTGTCTGCGTAGCCAGGGCCTTGTCCAACAACTCCTTTTCCGTCTTTTTGTTTTTTGTTTTCATCACTGCGCAGGCTAACAAAATAGCTGCTACAGCTCTCTTATCTTTCTCGCTCTCGACTTCCATTGACAACAAATGAAACGTAAAAATTGAATGAAGGCAGATCACTGATAAAATGCGCGCCAAACAGTTCTCGATCTACCCAGGACAGCAAAGACTTGTCGGTGCCTTTGAAAAAATTGCATCATAGAAATTTCCATTTGATCGCTGGTCAAATGAAAAATCTGTGATATCGAATTAACAGGCAATTAAAAAGGATTAATTCTTGCTGCTTCGTACAGCTTCAAGCAGCTTCAAGGTCGTTTACACGATCACATTCTGTGATCACATAAAATATGTGATGCAAATGTGACCTGAATATGATCGTAAAAACCGGCCTTAAGGCATAGGGTTAAGTTAATGAATTACTTGGCTTTCTTCTAGTTTGGCACATTAATATTTTCCAAAGTTTTCAAGATTGAAATCTCCGTCATTTGCAGGTGTAGATGAGCTACGTCAAACTTTTTCATATTATTTGGAAAAGTCTTGCTAATAATGTATAAAGATGTCATAGTTTTGATTACCCTGGGTACCAGACTCACTATATAATATAATAGAGAGTCTGGTCTAGTGCGCCCCATTCTCGTTCTGGTGAACTTACTTGAAAGAACTGAAGTCTATTTAACAGACTAGGCCTGTGAAACAAGACTGTCAGATAAATAATAAAGAAACTCAGTAGTCAAAGGAGTTTTGAGAAATCTTAAAGCAAATGTGTTTTATTTAGTTCTTTAAAGTCGACATTTTTAATACAGTGGTAATAGACTTTTCTGCCTCAAGATAACAATCAAATCAGGTTTAAAACGCCATTTGGCAGCAAAAAACATGTGCGAAGCATGAAATTAAAGTTAGCACAATGCAGTTATTAAATGTTAATCATTATTAAATGTTAATCATTATCAAATTGTTAATCATAGTCTTTTGTAATTTTCCTCATAAATTGTGTGTACTTTCAACGTCTACTTCCTAACTGTGAAGGCAGCGCGCTTGGACACCGCGGCGGTTAGAATCATCACGTTGGAAGGTCACCACAGCAAATATGGGCAATATGACAAGCGAAGCCCCGTATGCCGGGCGAAATATTAGCTATAACTGATTTACTGTGTTTGTTGTTGTTTGTTTTCGGCACCTTGCGGTGTTTCTTATCTACTGCATTTCACTACAAGGCCTAATTTCTTTGCAACGAGAGGCACAGCCTAGAATATCAGAGACTTTCCAAAGCCAGTTGGCAATATGGTGAAGGTGTCTCTTCTCTCTACAAACAAGGCTCTCAATGCTGTTCTGTGTTCAGTTCCACAACATGGGGAAAATACTCTTTGAGTACAGTTTTAACAGCATCTTCAAACTCAATCGTTACGGTCGCTAGCATTTTATTATGTTCTGTTCTGTTCAATGTTTTATACCAGAGCTAAGTTTATTGTTTCGCTGTGACCTTTGAACGTACAGAAATCTGTACACTCGCTCCTGATTGGTTAATATCAGCACACCAGAACGAGAATGGGGCGCACTAGACTAGACTCTCTATTTTATTTCATATATAGTGAGTCTGGTACCCAGGGTAAGTTTTGATGGGTGGTTTCCACCAAATTAGGGTTATGTCAGTAACCAATAACTTTCTTGGCATCAGTCAAGAATTACTCCAGATGTTTTCCGATCTTGCAAAATCGCCTTGTACCGAAAATTTTTCGCAGACAATCAATTACAACGTCTTAGCTATTTTTGCAGAAGAGCACCTCTATATACTTTTCTATTTGCGATAGCATCTGCGGCCACTACAATCGGTACTTTCGTCCACTTGAATTTACATCATTTTTTAGGTCTGGTGGACACCTTGAATACTCAAGCAACAACTTATGTAGCACTGCGGATAGAAACGAGTTGGGGCGCCTTCTGTCAGCAGAAGGAGACTTTCAAAGCTTCCCTTTTAGATTTTGTAAACAAGGAAATAAAAATTGCAATACGAGCCAGCCAAATAGCTTTACTGAATTCCGATGCTGCCTGCTCAAACGTCCCTCAACAAAGCATGAAAGTTCTTCTCCATGTCTCAGTATATACGCAAGGCACAAGTAGTGGAACGTTCGATATCGATGCAGTTCGAAAAATTGCTCTTCTTCTCAAGAACGGTGCAACATTTGGAAGTTTCAAGGTAAATAACTAAATAACTTTCATTATTGTTATTGATTAACACCGGCGTGATTCTAACTTACAACTAACATATTATCCAGTTGAGCTTCTCTAAGAAAAAGTAATTAGGCACTGTTCTTGTAACAACGTTTAAGCTCCCTAGAAATCCAAACTCTTTTTTTGTATCCATGAAGAGGCCGGGATGGTAAAGCGGGTCGGGAAGATCGGGAGTCAATAATAGAATGCAATGTAGGCAATTTGTGACCTACATTTTCATTCCAGATATCCAACACTAGACTTGAAAACTTCATCAGTCGAACGAAGATGGTAATTAAAATCCATAGGGTTTCATAGGAACATGAATATAACTATTGAAATCGAAAATTTCGACTTTATCTTTGTTTGCTTACTTTCGTTCATATCTGTTGTAAGAGAGAGTTACCCTCTCAGCTGTGTTCTTGTTGTCGTTGTGCGTCCAGGACAAAAACTTTTCCAAGAAAGTATCAAGCATATCAACGTTAGTATTTGTAGACCAGGCTACAGTGGCGGTAGGTGCCACCTCAGGGCGGAGAAATTCAAATGGATATTTTCAGGTAGCTATTGGTCTGGTTACTTGGAAAAGTGATGGTGAACGGGGAATCGTTGGGGTTTGTGGGGTAAATACGGGGGTTAAAGTTCGTCATATTAGCATATTACCTCTGCGGAGGAGCCACTGTTTTGTTTACGACTTCAGATAAGTGAAAGTGCTTGTTATCATAAAAAAGTAATCTAGAGGGAGTCTTTTGGAGCCTCTTCTTTAAATTCCGACATATTGCTACAATTAGTGTCGTCACGTGACGAATTTGTACCCCTTACCATATTTGGAAGGTGAGCCTTTTCTAACAGAATACCTGAAATTTTTTTTGTTTAATACTCTTAAATGTTACAATAATGTAAAAATCAGCAAGATTATTCTACAACCGAACTGTTGTTGATAGATACCCTGAATAACTTTGAGTTAATGACTGTTTTTAACTATGTATAGAATAATGGTTGCGAAGACATGATAATTTATTAGGTCCATTTGATTTCATGCGCATTTGGTTATTACGTGATGACTCCACATCTCCTTCAGATGCTGGGCAACTTTTTTCGCAATTCATCGCTTTGAAAATATTTGTACAAATAGTAACACAAATATGTAACGCAATGAACTCAATAAATCATGGAAAAACGTAGCAGAACAAAAAGACCTGTGTGCATTTTTGTAAAGTCTAGGTCGGAGCATAGAGAAATTCCATTTGTGAGATTATGTATGTGATTTTCTTAACAAAATTGTGCTTACTACATACTCAGCCGCAATAGCCAACTAACTAACTTTGAGGTCATGTGCCGAAGCGATTTAGCACGAAAGACATGTCAACGCAGTGGTCGACGGGAGAAAGACTGGGCACCACCCTATTCCCAGGACTCGATCGCTCCAACACACTCCCCCGGTTTGATATACAGCGTAATCAAACATCCTTATAAATACGAATACAAAATCAACTACAATCTATTAAATTTCGACACATAACTGCAAATCACAATATATTCATTTACGTTTCATACTAGCTTGCCTTTGCAACTCTCCAATAATAGCAGCGTTGCGCTTCGCCCTAGTAACAGCTTGCAGTGGTTGCGAAGGCGCTTGTTGCCCTTGCCTAGGTTGCGTTTGCTGCGCACTATCTTGAGGTGGCATTGCTCGCGTGTCCTGGTTTGCATTAGCGGCACACTCGGTTTTCTGCCAATAAGGACATCGAATTTCTAACGGAATAAGATATTTCAAATTTCGATTCAAAACTTTCTTACTGCCATCCCGTGATAATACTAATACCCTGGCTGCTCGCACTGAACCATCTGTTCCTGCCAGCAGCTCTAACACTCGGCAAAGTTTCCAAAAGGATCTTTTCGTTTGGTCATTCCTAAGGATACAAATATCATCAATTTTTATGTCAGGGTTGGTCTTACTACTGTTTCTTGGCCTGTAAGTTTCCAACAACCCCAGTAGGTACTCTTTCCTCCATCGATCTACAAAATTAGAAAGTAATTTTCGATTATACTTAGCTCGTTTCGACAAACTCTCATACGTATTAATTACTTCAAAATGTGCTTCATTTGGGTATTGACTCAAGTTACGACCGTTTATTAATTGGGATGGGGTTAGTGGATATGATATCCCGTCCGTATCATCAAAAACGTAGGTTAGGGGTCGTGAATTTATTACTCTTTCAATTTCCACGACAATTGTTTCCAATTCCCCATAACTTAGTGTCGCTCGACCCACGACTTTCGTCAGACAACGTTTCGTGCTTCTTATTAGTCGCTCCCAAAACCCCCCGTAAAATGGTGCGAGTTCTACGATAAACTTCCATTTTACACCTCTTATCGTAAAATATTCAGTTAGTTTGAGAGAACGCAGTAGTTTAGTGATCTCCTTGGAGGCCGACTTAAAGGTTTAGGCATTGTCGGAAATCAACAATGAGGGTGTCCCTCTACGAGCACTAAAGCGTCGATAAGCACAAATAAAATCTTCAACGCTTAATGATTCGACAACTTCAAGGTGAACTGCTCTCGTAGCAGCACACGTAAACAAGCACAGATAGCATTTAATTTGTTCGTCTTTATTCCATCTACCTGTTACCATTAATGGTCCCGCAAAGTCTATGCCTACATTTGTAAAGGGCGGACCACTATCAATGCGGAACTCTGGTAATTCAGGGCTGTATACGGTCTTGAAGGGTAAACCCTCAAGTCTCTTACACAAAATGCAACGACGTACGAGTTTTCTTACTTGTTCCCTCCCCCGGAGAACCCAATAACGCTGTCTCATTAAGTTTAACGTGTCCTTTACACCGTTGTGGAACACTTTATCGTGGCAATCCTTAATTATTAGCTCCGACAACTTACTTTTAGCAGGCAAAAATACAGGTCGTTTGCTACTTTCAGCAATTGTAGACTTTCCTACACGTGTTCTACATCGAAGAATCATGTCCTTATCCAAAAATAGATTAAACTGGTTTATGTACAGCGGTGTTTTCGTACCCTTTTTGCCTGATTCCGAGCTTAACAAATATTTTATTTCAGATGAAAATGACTCGTGCTGAACTGACCGTATTAATACTGTTTCTGCCCTTTGAATTTCCGGGGCACTTAAACCTTCGCTACGATTTATTTCAGTACCTTGTACCGCACTTTTCAAGTTGGAGAAAAAACTTATAACCCATCCAAAACTTCGTACCAGTTTACCCTTGTCGTTAAAACGCATTATATCAATAAGTTCTTCGAATTTCCCCTTTGAAGTAAATATTGCGTGGGTAATGATAGGCCCCTGTTTAACCCTTTCCTGCAATGCTTCTTCTACGACCAACTCACTGCCATTAGGGGACTTGGGCCATTCCTGTGGTTCTAACTTAAGAAATTGTGGACCCTCCCACCAGAACGAATTGGCAGCGAGACCCCCATGTTTTCCTCTGGAAGGCAGATCTGCCGGATTATCTACCCCAGGACAATGGAACCATTTTTCTTGCTTAGAAGTACTCAAAATTTTCGAAACTCTGTTCCTAACATATTGTGTCCAAGGTTTCACATTGCGAATCCAACAAAGAGTAGAATATGAGTCAGTCCAATAAAATGTGTCAATGACTTTATCCTGGAGCTCGTCCTGCAAAACAATTTTAACTGTTTGCATAAGTTTGGCAAGTAAACATGCACCTAAAAGCTCTAGTCTTGGAATGCTTTGTTTGTTAATTGGACACACTTTTGATTTGGAAGCAATTATGTTAACTTGGACCTCTCCAGATTCGTAAACACATCGTAAATACACCACAGCCCCATAAGCTTTCTCGCTAGCGTCTGAGAATCCATGTAACTCTACACTTCTTACCTCTTTTCCCTTCTGAAACAAGTACCTGTGTATAGAAATACCGTTAAGAAGCTCGATTTCGGATATAAGTGATTCAAACTTGAGTTTATGTTGACCTTGTAATAGTTCGTCCCAGGCCACCTTTTCAGTACAAAGTTCTTGGAAAAGTATCTTCAAATTTATGGTGTAAACATTTAACAAACCAAAAGGGTCAAATATTTTCGCTACCAATTTCAACACAGAACGTTTTGTTGGCACCAGTGATTTAGCAAACTCAACGATATCTGATAACTGAAAACACAGTCTATCTAACTTGCTGTCCCAGCTAACACCTAAAACCTTCTTACCCGCATTATCAAAACTACTTGTTGCGGCCCCTAATGAATACTCAGAAAATGTTTGGTCATCTTCACCGGTGACCACGCCCTGCTCCACCGCAGGTTTCTCACCTGAGTCCTCTGACTTTCGAATTTCGTCTAACACATTCTTATCGTTAGAGTCCCATTTACGCAAATTAAAACCTCCCTTTAACATAATAGATTTAGCCTTTTCGTATATTTCAAGGGCTTCGTGTGGTTGTTGAGCTCCACAAGATAAATCGTCAGCATACAACATGTTGAGAATCTCGACCACCTTAGGACTCTCCGATTTAAATTGCAAAACATGATGTTTAATGACTTGGCCTAGGATTGATGGCGAGCAATTAAGACCAAAACAAAGCCGTCGATATCGAAAACAACGTATTGTTGGGTTATTTCGAGTCACATCATCATACCATAAGAATCGTAGTGCGTCACGATCCTCCTCATTAATTTCGATTTGGAGGAATGCCTTCTCTATGTCCGCTGTCAAAACTATTGGCTTCGTGCGAAATCGTATTAAGGTGTTAAAAAGATGCGGCATAGAATTCTCCCCTGTTTCAAGACAATCATTTAGAGACAAATTTTCTTGTGAATTTTTCGCGGAACTGTCAAAAACTATACGCAGTTTAGTTGTCTCTCTATCATTTCTTATAACACCAAAGTGACAAAGAAAATGCGACCCTTGTTTATCAATATTTTCTTGAGAAACCTCTTCAATAATACCATCAGAAAGTTGCTGCTGAAAAATTTCATCATATTGTTTCAAAAGATCGGGCTTAGTTTTAAGTTTACTGAACAATGATTCAAGCCGTTTCTTACTCATATCATAATTTGAAGGTAGGCTACGATACAAATCATCTTTAAATGGAAGTCTTACCGTGTAGCGACCATCCTTGAAGTTGATATCCACCCCTCCATCATCGGTCTTCTTGTCTTCAGGATTCTCGGTTTCATAAAGACCCGCGGATTCGTGCTTCCAAAATTTCGTCAGCGATTCGACGATTTCTCTGCTATCATCTGTAATTTCGTCTCTCGAAGGTAAAACATCAACAATTAAATTCATCACATTATTTAAAGAGCTTTTATCACCTTCATTACAAACAACAGGTCCACAAAGCAACCAACCGAGTTTGCTACTTATTGCAACAAGGCCATTGCCGCCCTTTCTTACTTCGCCTTGCACTATGCGATAATAATAATCTACACCAATGACTAATTCTATGCGCTTTTCGCAAGTCGCATAACTATCGGCGAGTTGCAAACCTTGCAAATGTGGATAGCAACTTACATCTATTGGTGTACTTAATGGCAAACAAAGATGGGGGGAACTTAATACGGTTAACGTCAATATTTCATCTCCTACTTCTAGATTTACCGTTACCCTATCACAACTTTTCTTCTCATATTTATTTGAACCGAAAATGTTCAAGTATACGGTCTCTGTTTTCTCGACCTTCAACCCCAGCTTCTTCACCGTTTCTTCTGAAATGTAGCTTCTCTGACTGCCTGAGTCAAACAGGATGTTCACCAGCTGTTTCTCGCTCCTATCCGCACCAAAGCCATACGTCTGTGCTGTCTGTAGAAGAACATTTTTTCTCTCATCTGACGCGGAATTGACCGTCGTTTGCAGTGCAGGTACCCCTCGCTTCTCTTCCATAACTAGGTCTTCGTGCAATGCTGAATTGTGTTTGCTTTTACAGTGAAAGCACTTCGGTGGACTTCTGCATGTTTTCGCTCGATGACCAATCCTCAAACAATTGAAACAACGATTTCCTTCAATCAACTTTGATTTTCTTTCTTCGATGCTTGTAACTACCTTACACTTTTCTGCATAGTGTTCCCCTTGACAAAAATAACACTGCAGCTTTCGTTCCCTTTTTCCATCTTTGATAACTGCGAAGGCTCTCGTTGTTCCTCGATATTCTGTAAGGCTTGTTCTCTCAGATTTTCGAGTGGTCTTTGTGTCAAGTTTTCGGCTTATCTCCCTTGCCTCAATTTCTTTCCTTATGATGTCCAAAATCTCGTCTATTCGCCAAATTTGCTCTGATGTCTTTCGAGCCACTTGCAAGGTAATTTCTGCCGGCATTCTTGACATTATCACGGGCACTAACAAACTGCCATATCGTTCCGATGAAATGCCTAACGTCTCCAGTCCGCGGACGTGCACATTGATATTGTCGTATATCGCTCGTATCTGTGACACAGTTTCTTTTGGACAACTTTGCAAATTTAACAGCGCCTGCATGTGAGCGCTAATTATTTGCTGTGGATTTCCAAATCTTGTCTGCAAAATGTTTATAGCATGCTCATAGTTCTCTTCGGTAATTGCCAGCCCCTCCAAGGCTTTAAATGCAGTTCCTTCAAGTGATCGCATTAGATAGTTCATTTTGTGAACCGCCGATATCTGTTCATTTTCATGCACAGCACACTGAAAGCTTTGCCAAAAGGCTTGATACTTCGTCACATCGCCAGAAAAATTAGGCAAATTAATTTTAGGCAGCTTTACACCAATATTTTCCGAACGTGAGGAGCTACCACTCCTATTCAGCTGTCCATTTGCTGGTGCGAAGGGCGTTGCATCGGTCGTCAATTCATTTCGAATAGCGGGTGTCGGTGTAGAAACTCCAGTCGGTTCAGCAAGTCCGTGTAAAGCTCCAACAACAGTACCCCTTTTGCAAGCCCCAATTCTCGATATAATTTCCTCGATCTTCACATCTATCTCGGCTGATTCTTCGATTTCTTTCTCTATTTCGTCAATATGACATTTTGCCAAAATTTCATCGTTCAAGTTACACAACAGCCTCCTTTTCTGCTGAAGAACAGACAAAATCGAATCCAGCTTCGCTAGGATTTCCGTGGTAAGGGCATCACCATGATCTCGTATTATCAAAGTCGCTTCTCGCTCGAACCTCGTAATTACTGCTCTGTTTCCACCTCGAGTTCTCTTCAGTCTCTCCATATTTCCGTTCTCGATTCTTCCTGCTTCCGCGCGACGTTCAACTTCGTCTTCCTGCGTGGACATTTCGTTTCGTTCCAACTCGCTTAATCTCACAATTCAGCTCGAAATATTTTCCTTATACCCCAGCCCCACGTTGGGCGCCAATTGTTGTAAAGTCTAGGTCGGAGCATAGAGAAATTCCATTTGTGAGATTATGTATGTGATTTTCTTAACAAAATTGTGCTTACTACATACTCAGCCGCAATAGCCAACTAACTAACTTTGAGGTCATGTGCCGAAGCGATTTAGCACGAAAGACATGTCAACGCAGTGGTCGACGGGAGAAAGACTGGGCACCACCCTATTCCCAGGACTCGATCGCTCCAACATGCATCATTACCAAGAAAGAATTGTTTTGCTCTAAGCGTCATTTTCTTTATTTAAGTTGTTATTTTCGCTCTGAAAATT